CATCACATTACCGTCAGGAAAGAGCAAAGATACACAGGCAGGATCCCGCTGGGAAGGCGATTGTCTGGCAGCATGTCGGGCTTGTCAAGTGGGGAAATCGGGGCGTAATTAGCTTCTCATCTTCGTCAGGGGAAAGTATATGGGGCTTTGATTTCTTGTATTACTCTAACAGTTCGAATAGATTGTTGGCATTGTATTGGACAATGCCTTTGCTGATAAAATCAACAACAATGTTAACATTCTGTGTGCCTGTGATCGATGGAAGATTGCGGTCTGTATTTGTCTTTGGGGAACGCGATTGATTTTGTTGTTACTGTTAGTCTGTGGCATTTGATTGTCTGTTGGTTGTAGGAATTTTAATGATCTAATATACACAAGAGGCTTTAAACTATTTGTACCGAACACACTGCATGGATGACATTGACAAAGAACAAGCGTAAGATAATACGATCGAAATATCGTTTCACTATTTGTTAGGTTGTGAACGCTTTCCAAAGCAATTGTATTTATTTGTTATAGTTAGAACATTAACGCGAGTGATATGTTTGAAAATATGAAAATATTAGCTGGTATTTGATAAAATGAGCAAACGTATACTGAGTTGTTCGTTTTCTATGACAGGTTTGATTAGGAAGAAAGAACGCCTGTCTGAAGAGCGATGTCAGTCACTGTTAAGGAGCATCTATAAAATTTCATTTTTGGGGTGTGTGTATGTGTGAGTGAGTGTGTGTGTGTGATTTTAAATGAATAGTTTCTCCAGACTTATGCCCAAAATGAATAGTTTGTAGGCGATGGTGAAGAATAATGAATAGTTTGTTTTGTGTTAACACTGAAAATAGATTGGTGGTGCTCAGTAAATAAATAGTTTGTTGGATACAGCTTTGAAAACATATTGCCACCCACCCGACTAATTAAATGGATGCTCCCTTAGGCGATGCGTTGGGTGTATCGCCGCTTTGAACAGTATATCACGGCCTGATGTGTGAGGAAAAGCAAACAATGTACAAACATACAAGACATGTTCAGACACACGCTTAGCAATGTGTTTAAATCCTAAACGGAACACATTTGGTGTGTTTTGGGTCTAAACACATGAAATAACTATCGTATCACAGCCTACATGTATAAACACCACACGAACATCGCCATAATATCTGAACATGTTTACGACAAAGTGCATATCATTGCGTGTCATCCAAAAGATCTAACTGGGTGTTGTTGAACATATTGTGGGCAGTATACATACCTGTATGTACCAGTGAAGAAAGAACCGGCGTGAATATATGGCTGAATATTGTGTTACGCCACGATCAGCAATATTTTAGCTTTAACAGCCCCGTGTATAAGCGAGTCTGGTAGAAAAAAACCCTAATGACTGAACGCATCAGTAACGTTACACACCGTAAGGGCACAACACACAACCAGCCAAGTCACAGTACAGACTGCTTCCCTGGGTATGCTGTTGTGTAGCGCCAGCGTCAGCGCAGTTTTCCCAGAGAACCAGGCTGCAAGTCCTAGGGACCTATTCTGACACGGAATCTCTCCATAGGGGAAATACATGAGTATTCAAAATTTTTGAAAGATAATTCCTGATTAAAAGATCTCTGCTGTAAGATTTATATGCAATCAAGACTTAAATAAATGCGTATGTGCATAGCAATTGTGTTCTGTACACAGAGATGTTTCTTGGAGGCCAAACACCAAAAGAAAATTCACTCACAGCAACATTTCGATGTTGGCTTGACGCTTTCGTCTGGTAGATCAAGTATTGAAGACAGCAACGTGAATGCATCCGGAATGCCCTTAATCATTCACGCAACGTAAGTTATGCCTGTATTTTCTGTCTGTGTTCGAGTCCCAGAGTCACCTCGTTTAGGTTTAAGGTGTATACAAAATGGGCACCATACGCTTTGCTTGTTTGTTTGTTGCTTAACGCCGCATTCAGCAATATGCCAACTACATGGCGGCGGTCTGTAAATAATCAAGTCTTAACCAGACATTCCAGTGATCGACATCATGACCATCGATGACCAATAGGGATAAGATGACATGGATCAACCATGGCAGCGAGAATGACCACCCGATCCCGTTAGTCGCCTCTAACGACAAGCATTGTCGCCTTTTACAAGCATGGGTGGCTGAAGACCTATTCTACCCCGGATCTTCACGGGTCGCACAATACGCGTGTTTGTGGGTTTCGCTAAACTACAATAGAACCAAATACCGGCTCTGAGTATACAGTTGTATACTGAACAACAAGAGTTCCTGTGACATTGAATAAGATTTAATACAAAGTTATGTTTTTTTACCAAATCTGAAACAATTTCGGTTTGCAACAGTTAAAAGACATCTTCGTCTCATGGAATGGACCAGGCGTCGCACAAAGTCCTGTGGGATATCTGTCCATATCTGCTGGAGCATGTTTCGAAGTTCCTGTGTCTGTGGAACACGTAGTTGACGTCGAAAGCGCCGATCCATCTCATCCCACATGTGCTCGATTGGCGAGAGATAAGGGGAGCGAGCCGGCCAGGGGATGACATTCACGTTGTGTTGTTGACGAGAATCCAGAACAGGTCGAGCAATATGAGGCCGTGCGTTGTCATGTCGAAAGGTAATGCCTGTGCCATGACGACGCAAATACTGTAGAACAACAGGGCCGATGTCCATTGAGATTTCCCTCTACCACTATCAAACGGGTCATCTGTCTTGCTGTAATCCCAACCCATACCATAACGCTGCCTCCCCCGAACCAATCTTCTTCCATGACACATTGACGTAACGTTCACCTCGACGTCGGTACACTCGAATCCGTCCATCGCTGTGGCTGAGGTGGAAACGAGACTCTGTAGAGTCTGCACCACTGTAGGCGTGCTTGATGGTGGTTTCCTGTCAAAATGGGGCATCTGGCGGGTCTTCTGGCGACAATCCCTGCACATCTGAGGCGACGACGTACGGTTTGTGAAGATATTCGTCGAAGGCCAGGGATGCTTCTTGCAGTCACAGTTGCTGGCTGGAATCATTTTCGCAGGTGTGTTGTTCGAATGCAGTTGTCTTGTCGATTATTGGTTACGCCTGGCCTGCCACTCCGAGGATGGTCTCAGACTGCATTCGTCTGTTGCCAACGTTGTCATAAACACCAAATGGAGTTTCTGTGGACGGTAAATTGTCTTGCAACATCACGTTGACTCGATCCTGCTTCAAGCATACCAATGGCTCGCAGACGCTCATTTTCGGACAGGCGTGACATTTCGTAATGTTGAATAATTGCGTAATATTTATGTTTTTCTGAGTGGTTGTTTTGAGCACGATGCTAAACAATGCACATGGAATCCCGTTAACGCACATGTTTTTATACCTTTTCTTGGGTAGTGAAATGCATGGGGCTTGCATAAAAGTCAGCAGCTGCGTTTTTGTGACTTGATTCCATACATGTATTACAATACTGAAAAGCAAACTTTACTTGTTTGAAAAATACACTAAAATATTGGTGTCACAACTGTTGAGTATATTAAACGTTGGGATTCAAGGTTACCCAGTAACCTATGCTTGTCGTAATAGGCGACCACATGAGGTGGTCAGGTTCGGCGACATTATCGATCAGTGGATTGTCTGGTCCAGACTCGATTATGTTTACAGGCCATACAGGAGGAATATTGCTGTGTGTGGCGTTAAAAGCATACAAACAAAAAAAACCATGTGGAACCCAAAGAAGCTGTCCTAAAATATAAGTGTCAACGGGAAGTGTACGTGTTCAACGATGGAGTAAGTATAATACACTGGAGAAAGAACAGCTTCTAGATTCTTGAACAATTACCGAGGAATAGAACATCAGTCGATAATGCCAATACTGGATTTTCCGCTTTTTGTCGAGTGATTCAGTTACGTTTTTATATCAGGCCCATGAGAGCAGGGGGATCCAGACCCCACCCTCAACCAACACCTTCGTATATACAGAGTATTTGCTGCAAAACCGAAATTAGAATGAACAGAATTTTATATGCATGCGTTTAGATAAAATATGTTTTTAGTTTCGTCTTTTGATTTGTCTCTAGTGTAGATTCTGAATCGTCGCCATTGATGACAATGGGGCTGCGCTCTGCCTAGCAAACGAGTAGTTGAAAGCATACACACTACTTAACCCAATCACCATTGGACAACCGATCATTGGTCCGCTGTTATCAGCATTAGGAATTGGGAGCAGAGCAGAGCGTGATCGTGTTATATTCGCTAGGGCATTTGTCAGTATCGCGCAGAGTGGGATTCTACACTATTAGCACAATGCGTTGATGCTTAGCGCTGTGTCGCATATGTAAAAAGTAGCTGTCATGCACGCTGATCTCAATGTGTCCGACAGGTAGCATTTGCTCGCAGAACACGTGTCATGTACTCAGGCAGCCACGTTTGTTTGTTTGTTTGTTTTGTTTGTTGTTGTTGAACGCCGCACTCCGCAATATTCCAGCTATATGATGGCGGTCTGTAAATAATCGAGTCTGGACCAGACAATACAGTGATTGATATCATGAGCATCGATCCACGCTATTGGGATACGATGGCAGCCACGTGCACAATGCTGTTATAGGTAACAGCATCACTTGCACACCGGAGGCGGTAACAGATTCACCATTTCATATTCTGGTCGGACCTTGGTCAGTTTATAATACTACTGAATTGTTCACGACAATACTGGAAAAAAACAAAAAACATTCTAGCCTTAGGTTTTACAAAACAAAAAAATTCTTGGATGTCCTGCAAAAAAATGAGTTGAGAAAAAGATACAAATGTTCGGCTATTCGTTCAGAGACAACGTGTCTGTTTTGAAGCAGTAACCGATACCATACCCCGTCTCTCCGTCCAGTATATGAAATGGCAGGCCCCTCAACACTTTGGTACTTCCAAGGGCATGTATGTATATAACATACATTTGAAAAATCATACGCAGAAATGAATTTTGTTGCTGTGGTTCATTTACATACTTCAGAAAAAAAGTAGAACATCTGATCTCCATTTTGCAGGGTATATTGTTTTTATTCCCGTTATTAAATAACCAACACCGTTTAGATAGAAATCAACAATGAATATAGCAGTATCACAGATCATAATATACTCCTGTCGTTCGTGATCGTTGTGAAGGTACAGTTGCACATGTCACTGACTTTATTTCAAGTCCTATTCAACAGCTAAGATGACGACACTTGTCCCATCTTCATCTTGTCGCAGTGCACACTCTTGCCTCCACATCGTTATCAGCGAGCATCTCCAGATATCACACAACAGCACTATCACTGGGCATCATCCGACAGGGCCATTACAGGGCATCACCTGACAGGACATTGTGTATAAACTGAACAACTTCATCCACTTTATCAGCCTTGAGGAACGATTGGTGGTCACCATCCACAAACTTGACATTGACCTCTCCGGTGCAGAGTTGACCCAGTCCGTAATCTGCTGACATGGGTACACACAGGGCCGGGTCAGACTTCACTCTTAAGAGGTGAATATTGCCTGAAATGAAACAAAAACACAAACGTTTCTTTTAATATTACAAAATAGTTTCATAATTTGCAGTGGAGGATGTTGATTCACCCCCACCCTAGCTACCGTTTGTGGCAGAAATCTCAAGTATTTCCCTAATACACAAACTTTGAGGAATTGTGAATTATTTTAATTATTTTATTTATTTTATTCATTATCTACCAGAGACCGATTAATATTCACCACACACAATTTGTTACTGCCTGACGTTTTACGTGTACGCCGACATTAAATGAGAAATCCATCCATGACAATGACCAATAATTTAATCTGTATGGATACCGTCTTAAACCTGGGAAGTCTTGCAGATATGCAAAGCCAGGCAATTTACAGAAGTGACGACTTCTTTCAACACGGTAACAAGTTGCTCAACAATTATGAAATTAAACAGTAATTTAACAAACCAATAAATTTCTCCTGCGGTCTATACTTGTCTGCTATGAAGGTGCTGTTAATATATTCCTCCGCTTTTTTCTCCCTTGAGAGCCTTATCACTTCAGTGGCAGCGGAATGTAGTCCCATTTTTGTTTCTGGCTTTCGGTCCTTGTTCAATATCTGCTGTTTAAGAGACATCCATTTTGTCTTCGTGGGGCTTTCACTATAGATAAATATTGCATATATGAAAATCCAATATGTCAAGATGGCTAGCTGTCCACAGGCACGCCGAACTCAGAATTATGACAGCAGTCTGGAAGTAATCAAGTCCAGAGAATCCAGTGATTGACAGGAGTATCGATCCACACAATTGGGATACGATGACATGCAATCAACATCGTCATCGAGCCTGACCACCCGATCCAGTTGGTCGCCCCTTACGGACAGCATAGGGAACTATCAACCTATTCTAACCCGGGATCCCGACGTCTTTTACAACGTTCAGATAGAATGGAAATGAGCACCAGACTGTATACTCCGCAACTGTACGTTTCGAAACTGTATTTCGAGATATATCATATCCGTTATTTTGTCTTTATACACCATAAATCTAAACGAGGTGACTCTGTGGCAGTTAAGGGGGATACTCTAGCTTACGTTGCATGTGTGATTTAAGAAATTAACCCTCCGTGCAAGACCCCACTTCAGGAATAAACCATTAGCCAAGAACACAAGGACAGGATATCGGTGCCATTAGCGCACAAAAGTTGGTATCAAATGTTGTTTGTTGTTCAACGCCGCACTCGGAAATATCACAGCTATATCACGGTATGTTAATAATCGAGTCTGAACCAGACAATCCAGTGATTGATGTCATGAGCATCGATCGACGCAATTGGAACATGTTGACATGCATCAACCAAGTCGCGAGCCTGACCACCCGATCCCGTTAGTAGCCTCTTACGACAAGCACAGTCGCCTTTTACAACAAGCATGCTTTGCTGTAGACGTATTCTAACCCGGATCTTCACGGGTCTCGCGATAATTAATTGACGAAAATAGCTGCATGTGTGTTAAAACTTATAAACTGAAAACAAGCCATTCCGCCGATAAGGAATAAAACTTACAGTGATGACAACTGTAAAGTGCGCCTTTCAAGAAATATCCATTTTGCTGGCGATAAACATCCTCATCCAGTTGAGATTTCCACACTGTACGATTCAAACCTAAATTTCTCAGAAACGACACATTTTCTTGACTTTTAATTTTTGTTTGAAATGGAGACAGTTCTGGGAAGATTTGTCGTGACATTATCAAACGCGGACGGAGTGCAAATTCTACAAACCCTTACTTCTCTTTTAGATCATATTGAGGCTAAAAGAGCAACAGTTGAGTTGATGCATTCTCATCTTGACCGATTCTTTCTTAAGGGACCAGATTTCCCGGCCTTTAAATGTTACACCATTCATTTTTCAAAATATCTATCTTTCGCATTGGAAAGCGAACACTTCCGTTATTGGAATGAAGTCCTTGCGTAAACAGGCAGACTGGGTACATTATTGGGATATAAAGATAACGCCGCACGGTCAGTACCTTTATTTCATCCCGGTAATGTATAGTCACATATCCCGTTCAACAGCTGTATCACACAGGACTTCATTATTCATTTGGAATACGTCAAGTTTAAGGAAGAGGCGACGAAAGAATAAGCATATACTCCGTAACGTTGTGTTCCTCATAATAAAGAAGTTGACATCCATAAATTCTCTTCCTTATGTGTATCACTTCTAAATGTCTTTCAAAGTTCAGAGAACAAATTAACCGTTGCTGCGCCGAGGATGTTTACAAACAATTTTCAAAATTAGACACCAGCGTTCCAACTTATTTAAACCATACTGACATCCACAGACCCTAGGCATCTTACATGTTGAAACAACATAGCCAGAACTCTGAGCTCAGCAGTGTGGGTAATAGGGTGAGCAATTAACGTACACCATACTAGAATATATGAATAGAAAATTACAAAAAATCGCGAAACAATTGGTAGTCGTATTATGTTTGTCGAAAACATATCACTAAATGGTTTAGGCATTGTTTTTATTGTATGTTTATGTGTTTAGTAGGCTTTAAAAGATGGAGTGTGGTCTGTCGAATCCAACTTGCAACACGTTTTTCATAAATTGTTCTTTCGTCAATGATAATGAGATGTTTCGTCATAGGCAATAAGCCATGGTTCAATCTTATGAAATCTATCTGAATTACTTGTTCGGGATCTATTCTTACACCAAATGCAGAGGGTATTTAAAGGCAAAGTTGTTTAACTGTATGGTCACGGTATAGCTAATTGAGTTGTCTGAAAAACATCGAAAGATCATCCGTTTTATATTTTAGTTGAGCAAAACCTTTTTTCTGTGTTTACTTTACAATGCCATAAGTCCAAACATGTCAGTAGAAGCAACAAAGACGCAAGTCAAACAAACACTTTGAAACTTTCATACATTCCGTTACTTTATAATTAATTTACCACTATTAGACAAAAAGTACCCTTATGTGTCAACAATACAGCTAATTCCTGCCAATTTAACGAGACATTGGAAATGTCCAAAACAAACTCTGACCTGAGGACGATGTTGCCCATGATGAAGTCCACTGCCAGTTTCACACGGGGGTAGCCGGAAGGTAGATTCATGAGGGCACCGGTGAGAAACTGACGCGTCTTGATGGGCCCGTACATCTCCACGAATGATATCAGTGCTACGATCTCCGTCGAATCATTTGACTTGCAATACAGAAATGAGTAGATTACAAAATTATCAAAAGCGGTATTGTCTGGAGACAGGCTGTATTTTAAGAATAGGGCAGTATGAAAAAGAATAAATATATCTTGTGGGTTTGCATTAATGATAATTCTAAATGTCTGTTGTGATTTTATTCAATGTTTGCTCAACTACCTGTACTGCAACTGAATCCTTATGCTATTTGTGGTTTGGAATTTGCACAAATGCACAATTGCACAAACAATTTAAATTCAGGTTTTCTAAAATAAAGCTCAATCCAAGAATTATGTTTCGGAAACACCAAGGGAAACGTAACTTACAGTTTTGTCCAATGTAAAAGGCAAAATATTGAATTCCGAAAATACCTTAACAACGACACCACTTTAAAGAGAATAAACGCATTCAATCTTGTATTGTTTTCATTGTACATTGTGATCAATAATCAATGTACAGAGTGACTGGAGAGTAAAAATTAAAGAGTCATCAATACTCCATCTGCATCACGGCGGCCTGTGAAAATCGTGTCTGGACCAGAAAAAATACGGACAGTTCACAATGATATGTATTTCACTGAGATATCAGATCACAAAACCACCTGACAACCCGATTTAAAGTCTGTCAACCACCATTTTGGAGCCCGGTTTTTCGCAGTTATTTCCAATTAAATACACAATCACGCGACGAAAGTTGGTTATTATCTAATAATAATCATTTACCTAACTAGAAATGCCAGTTTTGTAATTTAATGTCCGAATAAAAAAATGCCTTCATTGTAACGTGATTTTGTGACTGATGGCCTTGTAGCGGGGGTAAGAACACACGATTTCACGTCACACAGCAATGACATAATGTGTTAAACATGCTTGCTGCATGACCTTATGCATGCATAGGTCACCCTACACCTCTTGGTTATACCAACACTATCGGTATAGGCCAGACACGTTTAGTAACATGGAGATGTGTTGTCAAAGGTGCTTGTGCCTCCCTTCTGCCTCCTTTGAGCAACCAACCTCCTCGGCGACCTTTGTGCGACATGTTCAAAACTTCACGGCGTCCATGGCGATGTCTGAACCTCCTATGTACCACCTTGGAACGACCTAGGCAACCATTCTGCCTCATTTGAGCCTCCAACGACGACCTGGCAAATGTTATGGTCGCACACGGGAGGCACAAAGGTCGCCATCCTGTTTAAAGCCCCCATTACCTTCGTATCAGATCTGTCCAGTTGTTCGCGTCCTGTGGCTATGTGAGAGTGGACAAAGCCTGGTCCTCCATCCAGAATAATAAGACATTCAACCTACAAACCACACAAGCAACTAAATCACAACGAAAATATCAATTAAATAATCAATATCTGGAACAAAAGTCGAGAATAAATGTGTTGCGTTATTATTTGAATAGACATACTGTTTTCAACTCTATCAAGTTCAGGCGCTACCTTTTTATCGGATATCTGCAGCTGTCTGGCTATCTCAAAGGCAATCATACCACCATAAGAATACCCAGCAAGCCTGTATGGTCCCACGGAATCGTAGAGCTCGATAGCATTTCGGTAAAACCTACAACACAGATTGAAATTATACCAATTAGTGAAAAAACAAAAACAAAAGCTTTTGAAATGAAAAACGAAAGTTAGTTTATGGAGCTACAGATACCGATTTAAAAATTGTGGAATAAATGAAAATTTACACACTTTTCTCCTCCCCAAAGTCAGGTTTTAGTAATGAAGCAAAATCCAATTCAAAGACATTGAAAGGGATATCAACTCACCCAGCCATGTCTGTGACTGAGGATGTCGTCGTTGACGGTGTACGCTGTATACCATAGCAGGGCACGTTCAGTGCCTTCCCCAGTGACCTCAGAAGAACCAGAGTACCTAGTAGGTCATGTATGGGATACTTCATAAAGGACAAGCGATTGTATTTTGTTTTACGGTGCAGCTATAATAGCAATATTCTAGCTGTATCGAGTCTGGACCCATCTTCCCGAGGCAAGGGTGTTAGCTGACTACAAAAGTCCAGTTTCCACACTTGCCGAATTTCATGAGCAGATCGTAGCGCCATCAGTGGCTATTACGAACTATTTCCCTTTTATGTCCCTCCATCAGATTCCATCTCTCATATCACCTGCATTTGCTTCAAAGAAAATGGCAGCGCCCAGTCAAGACGATCTGATCGATAATCAAGATCTATATTGTAATAAAAAGGGTCTTATCTCGCGAAGTGCATCAAATCATTTGGTCTGGACCATATAGACGAGTGGTTGGTATTCTGGACAACGCCCCACGCAGCCGGGGTATGATGCCACGCAATCAATAAAGTTTGTAGTGCTAGCCTAAAGAAATACAACACTGCAGTTCAATATGGATACCCCACTCCGACACAGTACACTGATATATAAATAGCCCGGATAATCAAATGTCATGATTAATGAATCATGGCCACAGAGCAATTCTACGATGAATACATAAAAGTGTTCTCAGCAGTAAGCGTCTGGAAGGATGAGCTTGAGCGAGTGAGCGACTGATCGGACGAGTATGGTTTTACGCCGCTGTTTGCAATATTCCAGCAATATCATGTCGGGGAACACCAGAAATGGGCTTCACACACAGTACTTATGTGGGAAATCGAACCCGGGTCTTCGGTGTGACGAGCGAACGCCTTAACCACTTGACTAACCAACCGCCCCTAAATTTTTGATAAAACCACCAATTTCCCGCTCTCCGGACAGATGCTTAATCAACTAGTATAGACCACGGAGGCGGTCTCACGGAGGCGGTCCCACGGATGAGGTCTTGATATAGGAAGCATAATGATTTGGACGAATATGGGATTTGAACACTCAGGAGAGCATGGAATTATGAATACAACGGAATGCAGGAAGTACAATGTACCCCTGAAATGTTTCAAATCATGCATGAATACTTAATGACACCAGTTCTATCGGTTCTGCAATGTACTACTGAAACTTATCGCAGCTCTTACCTGTGATGGGATGGACAATAAAGAGGGGTTTAGCCTGGGAGACGCAATCGTTCAGCTTGAGGAGTGGAGGCGTGATCTTGCTGGGCGTCAGGAGCTTCTTCACACAGGGGGAATGGGGTGTCAATGGAGTCTTGGGCACGCCAACAAAGAGGAAATCCATTGTCTGGGGCGTTGTCGGCATTCTGTGCGATGTACATTAATATATTTAGGCATGGATTGGAACGGTCGGCTTTACAATATTTGAGTCATTTCACGACTGGGGACAACAGGTGAGGTGAGGTGAAATGGGGTTTTACGTCGCGTGCAAGATTATTGCACTTATATAGCGACGTGCATGTTCGTGTGTGTGTTTGTGTGGCTGCTTGTACTAGTCCGGACTGATGCCGATTTATAGTGCTAGCTCACTGAGATACCATGCCGCAGTTTAACATGAATACCCCACTCAGACACAGTATACTGACTCCGAGCCGACCAGTCCTTGTTTTAGCACCTTAATGCCGAGCGCCAGACAGGGTAACAACAAGTACCATCTTTTAACGTCTTTTGGTATGACGCGGCCGGGGATCGAACCCCGGACCTTCCGGTCTCCGGGCGGACGCTCTACCACTAGACCACGGAGGCGGTCACTGGGGACAACAAGACTGGGTTTCAAACATGAGGGTCATACATCGCTTTCACAAAGCAACCAACCTTCCAAATAATGAATTGGAAGAAACTTAGCATTAACACCTCAAAGATGTACAGTCAGTATCTAGTCAATGGGTCATTTGTCCCGATGAAGCCTCAATATAAGAAAAATCTGATTGAAAACAGTTTTACTTAATTATCGACGCACATGTCTATGAAGTAATACAATGGTTTCAGGGTCACCAAACATGTTGCCGACAGTATGAGCAATGACCAACGTCATCGGGGTATGATATCAGCCAGGTCACATATTGCTTCATTACCCTCCTAATTTGAGTCGGATTTTACAAGCTTGGATCATGGGAAATACTTTACCCCGGAATTTTAAAGTGTATGAGATTCAGGAATCGTTTATGCATTATCCTAAACGAGTCGCACCTTAACAGGACATTCCTGGTTCTTTCATGTGCGGGGGATGCGAAGACCTTGTCCTCCATGTAACTCCCCTCCAACCTAATTCCGCTCAGCGGCAGATCAAGCGAGACCAGGGGTTCTCTGTGACAGGCAGCACCGGGGGAGTCAACAGTGATCCTGATGATGGGGGTTGAGGCGGAGGTGTATTGGGACATGTCCACGGACATGACGGTGTTGCGGCGTGTGTTGGGCGGAGCTAACAGCCCAGAGCAGGTGGCAGATGATGGGGTCAGCAGTTTGGAGGCCTCCATGTAAGACGAGGTGCGGGCGGTGTTTAGATGGTCCTTGCTATCATTCAAGCAGGACGTATTCTGAGTGATAGAGAACTCCTGAAATAATGCAAAATATGGTGTGACTGTGTGCTATGTGTGTGACTGACACACTATTAAGCATTTAAACATAACGGTGGGATATTGAATGAATTTCAAATACTTTAAAGGTTCAAATGAAGTCTAAATGTACGAATTTCTTTGCTCTAAGTACCTTTGTTTATCAAATACATTGGCTCCACTCCCCTGGAAATAGCCATTCTGGTTTATGTTAATGAGGAAATGTATTACAATCATCACGTTTCAGATATATATATAAAGAAATCAACACCGCTACACAGGACCGACCGACTGGTTACCAACATGAAGTGTCAAAATAAATGTAAATAAGGTCACATAAGACGCATGTCGACATTTGTTTTGCGTTAAAATTTTCAATTTTAATAACCTATTTCACAAAACTGAATTGTCAAGACCTAGACACCGTGACTTTAATGATGTGGACGGTACACATGTAGGTTGTAGGCTTCAACAAATCAGTTAAGTGAGCGAGTGAATGTTGTTTAATGTCAGTCAGCAATATTTCAGCTATATCACGGGGTCTTGAAAACAGTCTGGACAACTTAACCAAACCATGTACAACGATGCGTGCACTCGGGGTACGGTCAATGGCACAAGGGACCAACATTATTTAAATCCGGTATCCCAACGGTCGCTAGTACTGAAAACAAGGTTTGCGGCAAAAGCAACATCCTCAACAATGTTGCAGAAATATACGATGTCGGCGTCACCTGTGGTTTCATTGATAAGGTAAGTTGAAGTCGTTCAACCGAAGCTACGTCGTTCTCTGGGATGCCGTCCAAAACATCCCTCATCTTACATCCGGGGCCATCCAAAAGTGTGAACAACTTCTGTAAGCTGATTGGCTGAGAAAACTTCATCTGTTCCTCAACACAGTAGCGGAGACCGCGATGCTCCGGGTAACCGTCATCTGCTCTCTGACAAGAAAACAAAGACAAACAGATCATTACTGTTTATCTGAGGGGTCCTCTAAACATTAAGTGTTGTGCGTAGATCCAAACATTGTTAGCTGCCATAGACACTTAAGTCATGAATACACAAATGCCTTTAGAAAGCGGTCAAATGTAACAAATGTTATATTTTGGATAACACATGCTTGGTAAAGTACAAATTTAGTACTTTATTGGGTTGAGTCCTATCCAGTGAGGGACCTAAACGCCAGCACACAAAGTCAGCGATCAAAACCACTCAGTCACCGAGGCTTCCACAAACATGACAGTCCAACAACTGGTAGTCTAGATCACGTACTTTGTGTACCCCTCTCATAAATGTAAGATTTTGGACTTGAGTAATAGCTTAATTCTCAACCATAATCATCATAATTGTAATACTTCCAATCGGCTCAGTTGTCATGGTAATAAATATTACAGGAGGAATGTGTGGTATTGTTTAAATGTGTATTAAGGGTTCCGGAATAGTGATGCCGATGTTGTCCTTCATTGCCCTTAGAGACCCGTGAAGATTCCTGGGTAGAATAGGTCTTCAGCGGCCCATGCTTGCCGTAAAAGGTGACTATGCTTGTCGTAAAAGGCGACTAACGGGATCGCGTGGTCAGGTTCGCTGACTTGGTTGATGCAAGTCATCGTATCCCAATTGCGGGGATCGATGCTCCTGATATCAATCACTTGATTGTCTTGTCCAGACTCGATTTTTACAGACCACCGTCATAAAGCTGGAATATTGCTGAGTGCGGCGTTAAACAACAAACAAACAACCATTGCCCTTAGAACTAATTACCAGGAGACAGCACGGTGTCATGGCTGTCTTTCAGTTATAAAATGGTGTATTGGACGAGTATGGTTCCGACAGACAATTATTAGATGGAATTGTAACAAAGTTCATGACGTATTTCCGGGGTATAATGCCAGTTTTCCTAGATATTATAACAATACAAATCATAAATATATCCAAATCCTAACTCAATTAATTCAAACTTTTCTTCAGTTTGGTTAGCACGTATTTGCCTTTCCCCAATACATATTTCCAAAACCATTCCAGGCTTCAGGCCTGGGAAGCTCAATCTTAAATTCCATGACATACCCGTATGGACCTTGTTTTCCAATATCCTACGGTACATGATACAAACTCGATGACCTAGTTCACTCACATCTCTGACTGATGAAGAGGTGATTCTCTCCAGGGCCGCCAAGATGTCCTTGTCGCACATATCCTGCAGCTGAGCGAAGACGGTGGCAGGGCTGACACTCATCACAGTGATGTTACGCAGGAAGGCGGACATACCTAGAGAATCCTTTTCGCTGGGCCTACCTGTCAGCACACAGCGTCCATGGTCGGCCACGAGATCCATTGCTGAATTCATGTCTGAAATGCATTGTGTTTGTTGTTTACTGCCGCAGCAATATTCCAGGTATATGACGACGGCCTGTAAATAATCGAGCCTGGAACAAATAATTCAGTCACCGATAATGTGCGCAACATTCCACGCCGTCGTGTTACGATGACACGCAGTCAACAAAATCACAGAGCGTGACCCCTCAATCCATTTGTTCGGCTCCGTGGAAAAATTCTAACGCGGAATCCCAAAAGGGGCACTAAAATAGATGAGGTCAAATAGGGTTTGACCTCCTGTCCAAGATTATTGCACTTATATAGCTGTTAGTGCGCGCATGCGTGCGTCTCTTGTCCGAACTAATGACGATTTTTTGTGTGCTGTCAAACTGAGATACCATGCCAAAGTTTAACATGAATACCCCACTCAGACACAGTATACTGACTCCGAGCCGACCAGTGCTTGTCTTAACCACTTTATGCAGAACGCCAGACAGGGTAAAAAGTACCATATTTTAAAGTATTTGGTATGACACGGTCGGGGATAGAACCCAGGACCTTCCGCTCACCGGGCGAACGCTCTACCACTAGACCACGGAGGCGGTCCTAAATTACATATGCAAAAAATAACGACGACGATACATAACTGAATGAAGAGCAACCAAACCAGTGGTTGACAGCATGAACCACTACCCACAGTCGGGGCATGTCAACACACAATCAGGTCAAACTGGATGCTTGATCTTACAGTCATGGCATACTGGGGCTCAACCTACGTCATCTGGGCTGGACAAAATTATATAACCTTTCGAATAAATCCAGTACATGTACATGTATATGGATTTGATAATGAATGTGCGTTATGGATAATGCGGCCGTCCTAAATATCCTGTTGATTAATAATAATAATAATAATAATTGATTTATAAAGCGCCTAATATCCATCGACAGTTGCTCACTGGCGCTGTGACAGAGTTAAAAAGTAATGTCTATGTACATATGCCAACAATCAGGAGATCCATTGAAAAGCTGAAGTGAAGAAGTAGTTTTTGAGGAGAGACTTAAACGTTTCCTTAGAAGCAGAGTTAATGTCTTAACTATCAACTGACAGTGGTCAATGGTTGGTAAACAGGCGAATTCCATAATACATGTGTGTTTAGGAAATAAATAAGTTGACCTAACTTACCGGACCCGTCGGTCTTAAAGCATACGTCCACACCTCTTCCCTTTGTCAGCTGCTTTAGCTGAAGTCCGAGACTCCGCGGATGTAGAATGTTAACTTGAGGGAAGGCGCTCCGTAGCATGAGGCTCATCTCAGGATCCCAGGTGCAGGTGAACACGTCACTGCCTTGTATCGTCAGCATGGCGATGATGTACACTGAGACGGTGTCTGTTAACATTTTACAGCAACATCGGTCAGCGCTCGTGCGTTTACGCAGAAATGTTTTGCAGTTATATTATGGTGAATTCGCTTAATGTTGTTGGAAAGACCAGAGTGACAGGTCGTAGAAATTTATCCCTTTGACATAACTCATGAACAGGGGTGCTTTTAGCGTTTCTTGATTTTCAAGCTACATCATTATCTAGTCTGGATCAGACACCAATGATTGATATAGTTTTTTGTTGTCTAACGCAACACTCAGCAATATTCCAGCTACATGACAGCGGTCTGTAAATAATCGTGCCTGGACCAGACAAGCCAGTGATTGACATCATGAGCATCGATCAACGCAACTGGGACACGATGACATACATCAACCAAGTCAGTGAGCCTGACCACCCGATCTCGTTAGTCGCCTCTTACGACAAGCATGGGTTGCTGAAGACGTATTCTACGCCGGATCTTCACGGGTCGCCTGATAACCCGATTCCGTTGGAAAGTCTCGCTGACTTGGTTGATGCATGTCATCGTATCGCAATTGCGTAGATCGATGCTCATGCCATTCATTGACATTATCGGAAATGTAAGATAACACGCAATCAAACATGCCACCGAGCCTTACCACCCGATCCACTTAGTCCTCAAGCAAAAGTAACCGAGGACCAATTCTAACCCGGAATACCAACCTGTGCTTGCTGCCAGACCAAAGATCATCATAATCAAAATGAATCTGGAAATCGAACAAACGAACAGTGGATCCGGGCACAGCAAAGGGGCCCGACTCTTCAAAGAATGTCAAATAATGGGCGACACATTTCAATATTATGTATATATGGACACAACACAATTACCAAGAGGAGGCAGCAGAACTGCCGTCTGTTCTGGCTTGACACTGGCGACATCTTTCAGTGTGTGTGATGCGAGGATGAAGGGGACCACGGCATCAAGGTCCTCCGCCTTCCAGTTGTCAGGCACGCTGTAACTCTTGTGCTTCACACCGGCGTCTACACGGGTGTTGGAGGCCAACGTTATAGAATAATTGTGCCAACACAAATCGTTCAGGTACAAAATCCATAGTATTACGACTACAGAAAGGTGTTTGGTGGACATTTCCAAATTTTACCTAGCAGTGACCAAAATATTGTCAGATGCAATTTCCTATTGTGACTTGTACCATATGTTCCCGTGATATATTTTCAGTTAAACAGTTGACTGGTCTTTGCATGTGTTTGTTACGGTGCCATCGGCGGGGCAGGATACATTCTCACCGACGGCGCATTTAAGCCACTGATACGAACATGTCACGACGCCATGTTGTTTGAATGGAACAAGTTCGGAAATGGACTGTTATTATCAAATAACGTATTCAATTAATTATCACGGTTGGCAGTAATACGAGTGTGATGGTGATAGTTCAAAATTTAACAATTCCAGTGGATATGTGTTTAAACCGCTTTTAGCAATACACCAGCAATATCAGGGCCGGAGACACCAGAAATGGGCTAATGCGTGAAGAGCGCACGTTTATATCCACTAGGCTATCTCGGCGCTCTTACTTGTAATGGACACAAGTCCGATCTGCTCGGAAGGCTCGTCCTCCGTGTGGCCCATGTAGAGGAGGAGTTTGTCCTCACTGCTGACGTTGCTGGGTAGGCTGTAGAGCAACACACTGTCGACCACGGAAGTGGAACTAGCGTCACCAAGGTTGAGGTTCTGGAGAAGAATAGACTGGTCTAGCCCCCTCTTGATAGTTGGCTGGAACTGGAGTATCACTCCACCCGCCTTGCAGATACCTGTACGAATCATAAATAATGATAAATAATGATAGCCGGATACATGCAATGTTTTCCCCCTATTAACGTTATCCTATGAAACATACAGAGTAATTCTATAACATTTAGTCGACGAGTAAAGCTTATTTGTGGTTCCTGGTGATAACAAAACTAAATGTTATACTTAGCAATGATTTAATGGTAAACAGGAAAATATAGTGTTAGTTTGGATTTGAAGAGTATTTTATTTCAGTTATATCAGTGAGTGCCAGCTTGATGTGGGAGAAAAGCGCAAGTGATAAGTCTGAGACGGTCACCTTGCTAAAACCCATGAACACGGGTATAGTGTCTATAAAACCTAGAAACATTCAGGGCGAATTTGAAATTCGAACCCTTCATCAGAGGATACTTGCAAGCCGAAGGGATGCAACCCTGCACCGCGAAATGCGGCGCGATTGACTATAGGGACTGCGAATTGCTGTCCAAACGGGTCACCCGTACCCCGAAGTTACTGAAAATATTAACCCATGAAAGATCAAGTTTACATGCGCCCTTTGATCATGATTTCCTTTTTTGTCTTAGTTAATTTCGTTTTACATGTCGGAACTTAACCTGCAACCATCACATAAATACCCCCATGAGCTGCACTCCTTAACTAGGCATGGTTCCGCAAAACATTTACTGCACTGCATTGGGCAGTTGGGCACCGTCACGTCAATGATTCCACTAACGCTGCTCTACCTGTATGTTCCTCCATCATGACAAGGACGCTAGCGCAGTCGTGTGTGATCTTTATGTGTTTCTGGGGGTCGAGCATCACCTTGATTGGGAGATCGGGTGTGTGTGGATTAACAAACTCCAGCACAGCGTTGATGAACTCCAGCCAGCTGTCCTCCCACACAACCTCCTCCGTCTCCACCTCATGCTCGCTGGAAACAAGCAACACATGGGTAACCGTATGTCGTGCGTTTATGTTGCCAGATCTTATGTTATCACATCCGATGTATTTATCTTACCAATCGTCCTGTGTTTTAGCTACATTTTCATTTTGATCAACGTCGTAGCCAGGAACTAGAGGAAGGTCAACGTCGCTCCCTGGACGTTCATACTGTCCTGTCATAACAACGCCGCCTGAAATGAAACATAAATCGAGGAGAGTGTTTTTTTTGTTTTTTTTCAGAAACGAAGTATCAACAGTTCTAATATCAGTTTTTTAATACAATTGTTCATCTCACTTAGACAATCGCATTTGGACAATTCTGTAAATGATCTTAAATGAATAGTTTCATTTATTAGCAGCAAGCCGGAGAGCGATTCTAAGACGCTTCTTGTGAATAAAGTATGACATCAAAGGGTAACTCGTCTCGGGCAAAGTGACAGTCAATAAATTCTATTCAAGTCAACTCAGAAGTCAAATCAGTACGCTACCCAATTCAAACTTAATGATGGCAGCCTATGCCTACATGTATCACAATTACACAGACAAAGTGTTTCAGATTAACACTTGGGACAAGTTACAGCATCTTCAAAAAGACACAAGGGTGAGATTCGCTATTGTTACGCTCTCTACATATGCTGTCTGTATAGTCAGCTACAGCATACTGTAACAGAGGGAACCTCTCCTCAGCCGTCCCTACCTTCAGCCTGTATGGAGAAAGCCATCTTGGCCTGGTGCACGTGTATGAGCGCTCCGTGTAAACACTCCTGCATCATCAACTCTGGGGTTGTCACCAAGCTATGGAGCACCGTAGACTGCAGGCTGTCCTGAACACACAGTAGTTAGTGGCGACAGCTTTGTACATTTGTACATTCACATGTCGTTCACTCAGTATTCATATTTGTATCTTTCGACAGGGTCCTAAACGGAAAACTTTACATTAATATGAAACATTATAAGTTGTCCACCGGTCTCGAGGGATACATGGATTGATGTACCGTCAATGTTACCTAAAGTACCCCGAGCCTGAGCCTGAGCCCGAGCCCGAGCGTCTTACATCTTTAATTCGAGATACGAGGCGCGTTCAATACGTTTTGCAACTTCAATATCAGACCAAGTCGCAGAATACCTTTTGCACTTTTATGTTTCAATATAATCTAATCTCCATTCACCTCAATACACTTATTCCATTTGTCCTTGAAGCTTTTAATACCACTTTTATAGAAATCCGCAGATTGGCCCACTAATTTATAACCACGCCTCTGTGGCCTCCTGGAAGCGTCTTCCACGTGGGGCACATTTCATTTGCCGGAACAGGAAATAGTCACTGGGGGCTAAGTCTAGGTTCGAACAGTTAAATCACCCACCCTAGAGCCCAGACTTAGCCCTTACTTAGAGTACTTACTCTTTAAGGGTATAGCATATATTTTTTTACTTAAGGAAAGCATGCGTCGAACGCCAATTAATGGAACTATTTAGTTGGCCTTACAATATCTGTCAGCTGCTAAAGTCAAACATGTCTATGTCTTCTCCAACAAAGTATATGAGATGATGATCCTCTGTAAATTTGACAAAAATGTTTGTAGCTTTATTTTTGAACCATCACTGATAAACTTAAGACAGTGCAGTCACTGTTTTTTGTTTATGGCCGCATTCGGCAATATTCCCTGAGAAACTAGTAATTGATATCATGAGCAACGCCGTACGCCACCAGGGTAAGATGAAAGGCAATCAACGTCAGAGAGGTTGACCAACCACGTATGGCAAGTGGGAGAAAGAAGAAATCTCTTACTTTAGAGCCACACACTGCTGCCCACGCATGGACGATCAGAAGAGCCAGGGGGTCGTACAAACTTCGTTCCAGGTCCGCCTCAGGGAGTCGGTACACATCCTTCTGTCGATTCTTCACTGTAAGCAATGGCTTAGATTTGTTTAGCTGTATTCACATTGAAAACAATAATAATATACATATCACACAGTTCACATTAACCCGAAAAAATCACTAACAGTTACCTCGGTCAGAGAACTGGCACCAGTCTGGCAGAGGCCGATTTATGCTATGGTCCCAGGTAACCAAGGGGCTCAGTGGTGGGGTCGAACAGTCCAGAGGGGATGAGGGGGGATACAGGTGACCAACATGTATTGTGTGACCTGCAATAGATAACAAATCGATATATTATATCAAAATTGGTAAATTTAAATATTAATCAATGTTACTTTCGGCAGAAATCAGTATTAGCGCAGGTTTATTACGCCTGCCTTTAAATATTCAAGACTGGGCTAGGCTGCCAAGGTAAACGTTGAGATCATGAGAAACTATCCAGGATACGATGGCAGTCAGGTGAAACATTGTGATCATCCGATCCTAATTAGTGCGTTTGTGTGTTGTTTAACGATGCACTCAGCTACATGTATATGTCGGCTATATGACGGCGGTCTGTAGATAATAGAGCAGACAATCCAGTGTCACATCATAAGCATCGTTGTACGCAAATGGGATACGATGACATGCACCAACCAAGTCAGGGAGCCTGACCACCCAAACCCGTCAGTCACCTCATACGGTAAAATGGGTTGCTGAAAACCTATTCAAACACGGATCTTCACGGTTAGGTTTGTTGGTTGGTTGGCTGGCCGGTTGGTTGGTTGGTTGGTTGTTTAACGCCGCACTCAGCAATATTCCAGCTATATGACGGCGGTCTGTAAATAATCGAGTCTGGACCAGACAATACAGTGATTGATATCATGAGCATCGATCCACGCAATTAGGATCACCTCTTACAAGCATAGTCGCCTTTTACGGCAAGCATGGTTCACGGTTAGTCAGATTTTTAGTACTAGAGACCTTGTACTGTGGTCAAAACTCCTAATCTGTGCAATGCTGCACACATTATGGAACTTTTCATTGCAATAGAATATCCTAATTATGTTTCTGATCGATATTTCAAGACCATGACATGCATATGATTCTAATCCCTGACCAAGCGCCTACCTAATTCGTGTAGTTCTCCGAGAGTTTGAAGCACAGATTGTGTCTTTGGATGACAGTGGATCTCTGTCTGACCAGAGCGACTACAGTTCACCTCAGTCTGAGTACAGTTCTTGGCCATACACAGGGACAGAAGCCTTGCTTCCTTTGGAAGACCACCGACACATTGGTGCTGATTGACGGCTCGCTGAAGAAGGGAGGAGAAGTACTGAGCACCAACCGCCTGTCTTGCGTCACTGTGACTGTTACTATCTGGGTGTGAGCAGCTCCGGAACATAGGGGTCCTGTATTGGGATTAGTACAGTGAGTAGATAAGCGAAGACGCCTCTTGCAATAGCATTTCAGTTATTTAGGTGGTGAGGTGAAATGGGGTTTAACGTCGCGTCCAAGATTATTGCACTTATAAAGCGACGTTCATGTACGTGTGTGTGTTTGCGTAGCTGCTTGTACTAGTCCGGACTGATGCCGATTTATAGTGCTAGCTCACTGAGATACCATGCCGCAGTTTAACATGAATATCCCACTCAGACACAGTATACTGACTCCGAGACGACCAGTCCTTGTTTTAGCCCCTTAATGCCGAGCGCCAGACAGGGTAACAACAAGTACCATCTTTTAACGTCTTTTGGTATGACGCGGTCGGGGATCGAGCCCCGGACATTCCGTTTCAGTAATTTAACGGCGTGTCAGCATGAGTATTGGTACAGTACCACAATCCGATAGGAATCTCGATTCGAACGTACAACCAGCTGATGGAGACGGGACACTACTCTGCACATCATATATCGCGCTGTCAGAGATCACTGAACCAACCATATCAGCAATATTCCAAATGTCGTTCTATAAACAATCTGAGTCGGGGCCAGACAAACCAGTGACTAATAGCATGGACATCGTCCACATCGCCAGGCTACGTTGATAGACATGCATCGTACTGCGGCCACCCGATACGACAAACGTGTGATGGGGACCATTTTGTGCTGTAATCTACTTCAGAGGAAACATATCTCTACTTGTGTTTAAAGAAGATACTTGTACCATACAAACTAAATTCCACCTGCCTATACATTGTATTGAAATATGAGAATACAATACCTCTTCTTTGGCGATGGAATGATTGATCTTAATTTCTTCTCTAGAATGCTACTGATTTGCCCCGGTAACCGTGTATAGAGCGTAGCGTCTTCTGTCAGCTCAGAATATACTCCGCCTGCCATAGAAACATGTTAAGCTATCAAAAAAAAAGAACGATCTGATTGTTGTTTAACGCCACACTCGGCACTATTCAAGCTATATGACTGGGTGATCTATAAATAATCAGTATCAGACAATGAAGTTGTTGATATGAGCAACGATTCACGCCCTAAAAACTAATATCAAACGAGTTATTAAGTCTAAGGATATACGGATTAATGAATGGAACCATGCAGAGCTGGCGGTCGTATTTACAAATTGCCTTACTCAAGGCAGTTACAGGGCAGATTACATCCATGATGAAAAAAAATTCAGGTCTGGTGCTGATCGCGAAGGTCACAACATTTTGTTTGTTTGTTTGTTGTTTAATGCCGCAATCAGCAATATTCCAGCTATATGACGGCGGTCTGTAAATAATCGAGTCTGGACCAAACAATCCAGTGATTGATATCATGAGCATAGATCCACGCAATTGGAATAAGACGACATGCATTGACCAAGTCACCGAGCTTGTCCAACCGATCCCGTTTGTCGCCTCTTACGATAAGCATCGCCTTTACAGCAAACATGGGTTGCTGAAGTCTTATTCTAACCCGGATCTTCACGGGTAGAACACAATAGGTCGTATTAATACGTTAATATTTATTATGAATACCAATTTGCTAATCAACGCACCAGTGACAAAAATCGACAAAAATGTGCCTTGTCAGCAACATATTTCCCCTTTATGTTTTGACGGTATTCACCTGCTTGCTCAACTTGTTTGAGGATGTAGTTTCTATCCCGTGTTGGAAGAGCTGCCAGCATCACCGTGTTGTTCATGTAGGCTAGGATGTTGGTCTTTGGACCCAGTTTGTGCACGAAGTCCGAGTGCAGGCTAATGGAGTAGACAGGGTTACCTGCAACATTAGCACTGTAGCATATCAAATGTGTAGTCTATCTTCGTGTAGCATTCTAATGCTGTCGGTTTGTAGTCATCAAATCGCCATTAACACCAGCAGAATCCGAATATAGTTTAAGCGCCTGAGTGAGGCAAAATATGTGGGTCAAGTCGGACGATTGATGAACAACTTTAGCGACACTCACAAGCACAGGTAGAGAGCTTTCTGACACACCAAGAATCATTAATGAAGCAAATCCGGGATTCGAACCAAGCATCTGCTAAGAAACACAAATGCAATATAAGCACGTGTATTCAAATGCTGTCATACCTGTCCCCTGAGACAAAAGCGAGTCTAGAGTCTCCCCAACTGCCAACGCCACCTGAAGACACTGTTTGTGACCGAGGCAAGCGTCAAGATAGGCGACTGTGATCTCGGACAGTCCTGATCCAATGTAGCCATCTGGTCGTATACCGGAGTCTTTGAGAACCTCCACCAAACCTACAGAAACAACAGCTAGGCATCACTCATACATATCAAATAGAACACTCACCTTTGAATGACGTACGCCGATCAATCATTAAACAATATTTAAAAAAGGTAGTTATACACCTGGTACCATCACTCTTTGATAGTGATTCATAAACACATGCTCATGATAAAGTCGGAATCGTACAATCGACTGTTTTTATGAATATGGAAAGGCTGATGGCTTTTACGACGATACATATTTCAGGATATGTGTCAACATGTATTAGTATGAAAACACAAATTGAATGTTTTTATCGTTTCGTTTGTAATTATCATAATGAAAAACAACAATCATGTCATATGAATAATATTATGTACTTTGGGACACCGCACTCAGCAATATTCCATCCATATGACGGGGGTCTGTAAATAATCAAGTCTGCACCAAACAATCCAGTGATAGACACTATCAGCATCGACTCACGCATTTGTGATACAATGACACGTATTAACCGAACCCATTACGAAAAGACCAATTGTAACCCGGATGTACGGGGGGGGGGGGGGGGGGGTATCATCATGGTACGAGGGGCGTTCAATACGTTTTGATGTAGGGCTGGGCTGAAGGGTAGGCGATTTAACTGTACAGCCCAGACTAAGCCCCCAGTGACTATTTCCCGTGTTCCGGCAATTAAATCTGCCCTTCGTGGAAGACGCTTCCAGGATTACGAGGACATAAAGATATTCTGCGACTTGGTCTTATATTGAAGTTGCAAAACTTATTGAACGCCTCTCGTAGGTATAACAAGTGTATGTAATGCAGGTTACCGATGTTAACAGCTGTCAGACAAACAAGACCGACTTTGTTGGCTGGTTTAAATGCTGCTCCCTTTTCCAAGCTCTCCGTGACAGATAATTCAATTTCCATACTGCGAAGAATCTAGCAACGATAAAAAAGAGGAGGTGAGGTGAAATTGGGTTTAACGTCGCGTCCAAGATTATTGCACTTATATAGCGACGTGCATGCACGTGTGTGTGTTTGTGTGGCTGCTTGTACTAGTCCGGACTGATGCCGATTTATAGTGCTAGCACACTGAGATACCATGCCGCAGTTTAACATGAATACCCCACTCAGACACAGTATACTGACTCCGAGCCGACCAGTCCTTGTTTTAGCCCCTTAATGCCGAGCGCCAGACAGGGTAACAACAAATACCATCTTTTAACGTCTTTTGGTATGACGCGGCCGGGGATCGAACCCCGGACCTTCCGCTCTCCGGGCGGACGCTCTACCACTAGACCACGGAGGCGGTCATAAAAAAGAGGAGAGTTACGACATCGGTTACATTAGTCATATAGGCATGCCTACCATTCTGTCATCTGGTTTTGTTTACAGAAGTGCCGTATCTTTGTCACATGTGCGAATTAAAGAATAAACGTTGTCTTAAGCAGTATAACAGCAACGACGCCAAAGGTGACCTTCACATACGTATGCGTATGCTTATGCGTTTGTGTCTGCGCGTGTTTAGTTAACGCTGCATTCAAAAATACACGAGCTATATATGATGGCGGCCTGTATATAATCGAGTCCAGACCATACATTCCAGTGATCAATACTGTGAGCAACGTTACACGTCGTCGGGATACGATGATACGCAATCAAGTACCCAAGTCTGACGACTGCATCATTTTGGGCGCCTCTTACGGCTAGCAAAGGATGCAGGGGAGATATTCTAACCCTGATTCCCACGGGGTAACGTTTATTAAATATGTCCCAAAGGGCACAAATAACTGACCTTGTCGGATTCCTGTAAGGATCGCTTGAAGACGTCTATCTGCAGCAGGTCCGCGTGGGGCATGTTGGTACACCATGCTATATCCTGGACCAGCAGCCACAGGGGTTGGCGGTGATAGTTACGTGGCGACCAGTGGACGGACACACCTTGAACATCAATAACATGCAGTGAACGTTCAACATTATGACCACCTGGCGAGCAAATAGTTTGCTACAATCTTTGGTACAATTTCCAGTCTCATTTCACGTATTTACACATGAAATAATGAGTGAGTGAATGAGTTGGTTTGAGCACATTTCCTTCTCAGTTAACATAATGGCCTTACACGTGTCATTTATCGTACAATTAATGCAGTGATGGTTACATATAAGGCTGATGTTATTTGTGGATTTGTCACTGGGAAGAACTAGAAACTTTTCATGTAGGACAGCCAGAATGTGTTTATTCCAATTCCTTTTCCACTTTTTCAGTTTGTGCTTTCTACCATTGACAACATCAAGCATAGATTTAATCCAGACCGAAAGACTTCAGCAGGTTCATCGTCTCGCTTGGCCCGTGTTTTGCAATACGTCGACAGCATCCATAATGATATAGTGAGTGAGTGAGTGAGTGAGTTGGGTTTAACGCCGCTTTTAACAGTATTCCAGTTATATCGCGGCGTGTCAGCTTAATGTGGGAGGAAAGCCTGAAGTGATGCAGGTCTCAGACGTTCACCACTTCGGTGAAACCCACGAGCACGGGTATGGTGCTGACAAACCTAGAAACATAATCGGGGCGAACCGGGATTCGAACCCACAATCATAGGTTTCTGGCGTGCCCAAGGGACGCAACTCTGCACAGCGAATCGCGGCGCCTTAGACGACTGGGCCACCCGTGGCCACCCGTGACACCGTTCAATCATGTTTCTCATATAATATACCCGGAATCTCGGAATATACTGTTTATTCATTGTGCGTGCAAGACGAGTCGTTTACTTACATGGCAACGTCAAGACAGATTATTTACAAACATACATAACTGTGGGGTGTTAAATGGGTATAACGTCGCGTTTAAGATTATTGCTCTTACATGTATATAGCGACTGCATGCACGTGTGTGTGTGTGTGTGTGTGTGTGTGTGTGTGTGTGTGTGTGTGTGTGTGCGTTGTTTAACGCCGCCCTCAGCAATATTCCAGCTATATGACGGCGGTCTGTAAGTAATGTCTGGACCAGACAATCCATTGATTGAAATCATGAGCATCATCTTCCCGAGGCAAGGGAGTCAACTGACCATAAAAGTCCAGTTCCCACCCTTGTAGAACTGGGTTGGAATTATGAAGTTATTTTGGCTGGGCTAACGAAAAACATGTGTGACGTCAACATATATTTTCCAATTTTAATCAAGCGCTAATGTGAAGAAAACCCCGTTATATTATAATATGTATCTTTATCAGGTCGTATGGGCGCTGAAGACTTATTATAACCCGGATCTTTACGGGTGTGGCTGTTTGCACTAGTCCTGACTGATGCCGATTTTAAAGTGCTAGCACACTGAGATACCATACCGCAGTTTAACATGAATACCCCACTCAGACACAGAATACTGAATCCGAGCCGACCAGTCCTTGTTTTAGCCCCTTAATGCTGAATGCCAGACAGGGTGTCAAGTACCATCTATTAACGTCTTTTGGTATGACGCGGCCGGGAATCGAACCCCCCGAACTTCTCAGGGCGGACGTTCTATCCACTTGACCATGGAGGCGGTCCAATGGATAACGAAGCTTCACTGAATTGCTGAGGTGACAAAGGCTATGTGCTCTACTAGGGAAACAGAAACTACACTTACAAGGCTCTTGACTGAAAGGGCATTTATCAAGGGGTAGCAACTCCCTTACAATACGTCCATCATCTTCATCTTTGGCTAACCATCGTCCACAAGGTAATGTCCATGTGAAGTCCAGAGATGACGAGTGGACGGTCACGTGACCCAGGAACCAGGAGGCGGCGTGACCTTTGTTATCATGGCCGATCCTAGTTGTTGAATTAAAGTGTGAAAACAGGATCAGGATGTCCTTTTTTTCAAAAGAAAGGGCAAAAGCAATCATGCAACATTCAGATTACTTTTAATTTAAAGTATCCTAACTAAAAATGATATGGTAGGTTCAATATTTATTTATATATGCTACCTTGAAACTATTACGGGCACGGTAGGCCAAGTCGTCAGTGGAGTAGTGACCGTCTTAAAATACTTCATGTGCACGTTTTTCTTCTTCCAGTTCGTGCTGGCAATGAATGTACACCGCTCACGCTGCTTAATAAACCCACTCGCAGTCACCTGAGTGCCGATCCTTGCCTTGATTGTAACGTCATCACAACTCAATGACGATGTTAAACTCAAGCAAAATGGATATTTCTTGACATGCGAAGTTTCCCATTTTTGTCATTACTGTAAGTGCTAATCACTGTATGTAATAAAGCCGGAATGGCTTGTTTTCACTTCATAAGAACTGGAACACATAAAGCTACCTTCGCTAATTAATCATCGCCATATTTTAAGCTCCTATTCCAAGTGGCGAGGGCTACAGTGGACGTATCAGTGTGTGTTGAAGTAGATACCAACCATCAATTGCAAATAATTCATACAGGTAGTTGCGAAACATCTTGTTACAGGTGACTCACACAATTCTCTGCAAGTGTCCAACGTCCTTTGTCTTGAGAAGGAACTCGTCCGTTTTTCCACGTTCGAACTTGTTTTTTTGCGTTAAACTTTTCTTCAAGTCAATCTTTCCTGTAAGGCACACCCATGTATTTAGATGAATGAATTATATTTTACATACATTTAAAAAAAATGTGATTCTTGTTTGGTTGTGAAAAACCATCTATGCCTATTTAAGGAAAGTTATGTAAATTACTAACGAGCTTAGTAATGCGAAGGTTAAAACAATTGCTTACCTGACTTCTGTAAGTCTCCTTGGAGATCGATGAAAATATTCGCATCAGTTCCAGCTCCGAATGCACTGCCAGTGGTGACCTTCACTGTGTATGTAACTGTTGCCGATGGTCTACATACTGCACGAAAAAAACAGAGTAGCCCGGAGATCTGATGGTTTGGATACAGATCCGTTAACAATAACCAATTATATTTCAACCAATCACGACGACGGCCGTTATCACGTGAGACCGCAAGAGCGAACCAGGAGTAAGTGCGTTGACGAAACTTGCAGGAAGCCGACAGGGTGATCATGCCCCTGACAATACAGTGACTTAATCTAAGCCCTTTTACACAGAGTGTGTAAATGACCGTTTGAGCTGGAATAACTACTCTCAGCGTGTCAAATTACTGATTGAGTGGTCATCAACATCCGACTGTGCTTACCAAGAACAGGTAAACAACAACAGATCCAAGGTGGTACCAGCCAAGATTGCTGATGCTCTGCTGCAATCAGGGGAACGCTCTCCCAGAGACATTGATGTACTGGGCAATATCGTAGATGTCACCGAGGACCTATACAACCGTGAGTATGTAGGTCCGTGATGACATGAATGCTTCTCATCATTTAAAAGTGACAAAGGGTGTCCAAAGTCAAATCCAAGCTCTTAAAAGCGCTCCCCGGCATCGAAGGTAAAACCAAAATCCGGTTCCAAACAAGACAAAGAGGTTAGTACCTCGGCGGATAACAGCCCGACCACCAACTACAAGTCCCCGACTATGCCCTCAATTGAGAGTGAAGACTGGCTCCTAGCTCAAGTCATGCAACAGAATATGAACACTGAACAGCTGATATCTAGAATGACAAAACATAGACGAACACTAAGTTAATGAAAACATGTCTTTAACATAATATTTTTTTCGAAAGAGCCTTTCCTCTTCTGCTGTTTTCATACAAGTCTTGGTTAGTTTGATCTAGACTTGCCTAGGCTTTTAGTAAAAAGAAAATACCTAAAACATATAAATTCCACATTCATGGTACAGGACTAGACAAAACACTGGCTTCGTTTCTTAATCAGATGTCACCCTCCACCCATGTCAGTGCTACTATGAATCGCCCTCCATACGACGAAAGAGGGTGATGAGCTGCTGACAGTGGTGGAACGGCGCCATGGAAAACCTCTTTGATTATGTCGACCCAGGTGCTCTGGGCATAACCGATGACTCCACACAAGTGGATGACAGTAGTGATCTCTTAGGTCCACCATTACCACCAAAGTTGAAAGAAAAGCGTTCAGTTTACAAGTCTCCCCACAACTGAGTCGGTGAAAACGAGCAAAGTCAACCTATAAATCTGGCATCAGCTTAAAGAATCACAAGAACGGTCATATGATATAAAGATGCGGACACTGTTTAACGTCGCGTCCAAGATTATTGCACTTATATAGCGATGCGCGCGTGTGTGCGTTAATCCGGACTGATGCCGATTTATAGTGCTAGCCTACCGAGATACCAGTATACTGACTCCGAGCCGACCAGTCCTTGTTTTATATGTTTAGTGTTTCCTTATTACCGAGCGCCATAATGGGTAACAACAAGTACCGTCTTTGAAGGTCTTTTGGTATGACGCGGCCGGGGATCGAATCCCCGACCTTCCGCTCTCAGGGCGGACGCTCTATCCACTAGACCACGGAGGCGGTCTCAGAGCTGGCAAAAACTATCATACCACTGGCGCCTTCATTTAATGAAGCGAGGTGAAATGAGGCTTAACGTCGGGTTATTGCACTTAAATGTCGAGTGCAAGCACACGAGTATGTGCATGCGTGCTTGAGTGCGCACTAGTCGGAACCAATGCCAGTTTAATAGTGCTAGCCCACTGAGACATCATGCCTCAGTTTAACATGGATACGCCATTCAGACAGTATACTGACTGAGCCGACCAGTCTTTGTTTTATCCCTTTATTGCCGAGGCAAGGTAACAAGTACCAAACACATTTTCAACATCTTTTGGTATAACGCGACCAGGTAATCGAACCATCGAACTTCTGCTCTCCTGGCAGACGCTCTATTAACTAGACCACGCAGGCGGACGACGCCAATGTGAACGGTATAGTATGTACAAAATATTTAGGGTTTCACTGTAGTATACATGTAACATAGTAAAACAATTTATTGATAACAACTTCTTTATTTCCTGTCAACCAAGGACAACGGTATTAAGGATCTACACTCAAAACGTCGCCTTTACAGTAATAAAGAAATTGTTATCCATTATTTGTCTCTACTTTGTCATCCGTCAACATCTTTTGTTTGTTGGTTGGTTGGTTGTTTTGTTGTTTAACGCTGCACTCGGCAATATTCAATCTACATGTATATGACGGTGGTCTGTAAATAATCGAGTCTGGACCATACAATCCAGTGATTATCATCATGATCAACCATACACATGGGATACGATGGCATGCATCAACCAAGTCAGCCAGCCTGACCACCCGATAGCGTTAGTCGCCTTTTACGGAAAGCATGGGTTCGTCAACTTCTAAGTTATGCATGTCAAACAATGACACATGACATGTTATTTTTTTAGCGAGGTTAATATTTTTTAACATTACATTACAGTGTACTAGGCACCTGTTCTGAAATACCAGACGTTGCTCCAAGTGGATGATGTAGACGTACAAGCAGCCTAGGTGAAGGGTTCGGGATTTACAGTCAGTTGGGGCCGGGGATTCCGGGTTAGAATAGTCCCCTCCCCCTATTTTACAGGATACAGGTGAACATAGCTCAAAGATAAGGTGTCCAAAATAGTAGTGAAAAGTCTATTACGACGCCTGTAACGTTACTTAACATAACCCTGGGTTTACGGGGTGAGCATAAGGTTGTATCTCAATGTAACACGACAAACGGAATATCTCAACCAATGATTGAACATAACTGAAATGAATATACCAACATCTCAGTAAAACTGAGACAGTATCGACTTAACTTTTAATTTCAGTGAAAGTTCATACGGCCGCGACACCGAAGATGAGCTTTACACATTGTTCCCTGTAGGGAATCGAACCCAGGTCTTCGTTGCGACGAGCCAAGGCTTTACCCACTGTTCTACCCCAGGTAATTCTTACCTATCTCTGGCAGATTCACAGTTGCGTAACCCCGGATTTGTTGACGAGGGTCGCACGACAACATGGATCTGCTTATCAGCCGCATCAGCGCAATATTTTCCGAGTGCTTCTCAAGGAACGTCTGTATCCTTGCAACGCCTTCTTCATTCCGGACGGTGATGGGGACTAGATACGTACCATTCCCTGAAAGAGATGATCCAAATTAAATTAATAGACTTGACAATTATTACAGCTTATATTTTTAAAACGTTTTTATCAGCACATATGTAGACTTGTTTTTCTCTCGTATTTCTGCTGATATAAAAGAAATAATAAACGCGTAAACAAGTTATGCGATCGTGTTCACTACAAGTACTATCCTAGTACACTTATTTGCCTGCATGCCGCTTCATTGCAATTTCCTATTTTCATACGCTCATACGTTTCAGAGCCATTATATCGAGATATTTATTCAGTGACTGTTCTATCCTGGATACCTTACTTTTGGGTTCGTATGGTGGGTTCTTGTAGGACATCAGGATAAGATGGCCATTCACCCCTCCAAAGCCAAACGAGTTGATTCCCATGATACTTATCCTACCTGTGCATAAACAGCCAAAGGAGCATCATGTGATACGGAAGTCATTACAATTAAGTGGATTTTAAGAAACCAACATCAATGGTCTCCATAGGAACAAGTGTGTGTGTGTGTGTGTGTGTGTGTGTGTGTGTGTGTGTGTGTGTGTGTGAACGAGCGAGTGTCGGAGCAAGTGTGGGAGCGAGTGAGTGAGTGAGTGAGTGAGTGAGTGAGTGAGTGAGTGAAAGAGTGAGCGTGCTAACGCCGGTTTTATATATAGATATGTATAGCTAAGGCAGGGTAACAATCTTTTGACGTATTTTGGTACGACAAGGCCGGGGATATAGCCACCGACTTTCCGCTTTCCGAAGCATTATCCACTAGAACACATTAGGTAGTGTATGTGGTGCGGGTGGAAAGTCCCAAGAGGTGCATGAAGTCTACCACACTGGGAACGCACTAACAGTTATATGGCGATGACAAACGTAGAAACATGATCGTGAAGTAAATACACTGTGTTCAGTCAGAAAATTGAAAGAATGGCCATGCAAAAAATACTGACCTTTCAGTTTATGACATGTATCCACCACCTTTATTTTGCCCAGCGGTATGCCTATAATACCCAAATTCGGAGTCTTGTAGTGTAGACAGGCAGGGACCATGCCATGGTAGATTGACAGTATACACTTGACCACAGCCGATAAACCTGTACAGGAATAGCATACATAGATTGTATACATGTGATGAAGCATCATACTGCAACTGAAGATGTTAATAAACACTATTTTTACCAAAGGTTTTCGATCTAGATAAAAGTAATACTGTGATGTCATGAACGATTGATGGATTTCTAGCCTGTGACATCCGTTTGTAAGACCTGTGGACTAGTGGAAGTTGAATATTAATTATTTGAAAGATGTCCGTCTGACCTGACGCTGCCTCGCAATGTCCCATGTTGCTTTTCACCGACCCAACCAAGAGGGGTTCGTCTCTGCCGTCACACAATGCATCCATGATGGCGTTCAACTCCAGGCGATCACCAGCCTGAGGAACCAATATATTTTCAAGAATGATATTACCAAACACTTCTATCCATACAACTTTCCTGAAAATGAGTGAGTGAGTATGGTTTAACGCCGCTTTTAGCAATATTCCGGGGACACCGGAAATGGGCTTCACACATTGTACCCATGTGGGGAATCGAACCCGGGTCTTCGGCGTGACGAGCGAACTTTTTAACCACTAGGCTACCCGACCGCCCTTTCCTGAAGACGACTAAATCTAGCTGACGGTGGCGCATGTGCACATGTGCGATACTCTTTGGTTATTTAAAGCGTGAATCTTTAGGGTGATTACTGTGTGCAGGTAGGGTGTTTCACACCTTTTAGCAATGTTCATTTAGTCGTATGACGAGTCGGTATGGAACCCTGATCTTCAGCGACGAGCTACGCTGTCACTGGCCCTGATTACCGAGTCGTCAAGTAGATACTGGTGCTAATAGATGCAACGTTCCTCATAAGGTGTGACACTCAAAGTAGACGATATAATCTGCATATAAGACAAGGGACTGCATTAGTAGTGAGTGAGTATGGTTTTACGCCGCTTCTAGCAATATTCCAGCAATATCACGGCGGGGGATACCAGAAATGGGCTTCACACATTGTACCCATGTCGGGATTCGAACCCGGGTCTTCGGCGTGACGAGCGAACGCTTTAACCACCAGGCTACCGACTGCATTAGTAATAGCTACTGTTGACATACGATGTTGTGGTCCGATATAACACTAATACAGGCAGATTCATGCATGAATAAACACGACACATCCTCACCCAGTCGCGGATTCGGTCACCAGAAATGAGTTCTCTGTAATACGACACATTTTCATAAAAAACACAAACTGTATGGGTTCAAGGTGTGTGACCATCTGGTCATAATTATCTTTGCAATTTTCAAAAGAAGCAACTGATAAAACATATACATGCAGAACGCGATCTCATCCATACCTTCATCAATAACACTTCAGTATTTTTCAGTATACTTTACTGGTATGGACCATGGCATATTCGAGGGCTTCTATGGTATCAAACGTCATTGTATGGCTGTAACATTGCTACAGGCAGCGTTAACCCTTAGCCACTCATAAGCCATAACCTCCGGGTCTAGAAGGCGACTATCGTAACGTGTATTGACGGTCAATTACAAATCAATACTTCACCTGTGTGCCGGTACCGTGGGCCTCGACGTAGGCTAGACTTGATGTAGGTATCAACTTCTCGCCATACAAGGACCTGAGGAGATTGCTCTGTGACGACCGGCTAGGGTACACTATTCCTGACAAATCAGAAATCAGTAGTCTGTCAGTATGTCATACCACACTCACTAGTGGAAGAATTGTTGTTTTGAAATATGTACACAGTTCGTGGTGGCTCACCTTCCTCTTTGTATCCATCACTGTTGACGGCGATGTCTGCGATAGTTGCGTAGATCCTTTCACATCTTTCCGGATTTCTGCAATCAAATATCAGACATGTAACGATTTGTTCAGTTTGCGTATTCGGACATTTTAATGATATTTCAGAAATCCTGCCAGTGAAATGCAGAACAGACGATCGTGTTCCATTTGGACCAAAACAATTGCTTGATGAAATCAGGGCTTCATAAAACATATTACAAATATTCGATCATTCCATGAAAATGCAAACTCAGTTTATATCCTCAGAAGGCTTCCATCTAAGAGTCACTACCAAACGTATTAATGCATATGCATAGGCCCTTCTTCACATTTCCTCTGGACAAACAGCATGTGTTGATAATCATAAGTATTTCTCTTTAAAAAACATCATAGAATATAGTAGGACAATATACGATTCATACATTTGAATCTTTCCATAAGTTTTTACTTATTCCTGCTCCCCACCTCGCCAAGATGACAACTGCTACTCCATCTGATCTCACGTAGCCGTTAGCGCTAATGTCGAACACATGGCTTTCTCCGGTGGGGCTGAGCATGCCTAATCTGTTGAAAGACTGCGAACAATTCGGACTCAATATCAAATTGACGCCTACAAAAGAACGAGAAAGGAAACCGTTACCAAATATTCATAACAAACGCAGAAACATCTCGGTTATACTACAGATGCCGAACAACACTGGTGTCTGGTGTCTTAAAGCTATAGTCGCCAGTCATGGCGATCCGGTGATCCTTTAGATGCGTGTCTTACACCAAAAGATATTAGTGAGTGAGTGAGTATGGTTTTACGCCGCTTTTAGCAATATTCCAGCAATATCACGGCGGGGGACACCAGAAATGGGCTTCACACATTGTATCGAACCCGTGTCTTCGGTGTGGCGAGCCAACGCTTTAACCACTAGGCTACCCGACCGCCCCCCAAAAGATATTAAGAAAAGCAATTCAGACAACATTTATATCACGTTGCTACAGTGTCGGTCTAAGAGGCGATGTGAAATAAGGTGCGTTCGAGTGGCTGCTTGTTCGAGTCTGTCCTAATGTCGGTTTTATAGTGCTAGCCAACTGATATACCATGCCGCAGTTTAACACGAATACCCTACTCAGACAGTCTACTGACTCCGAGCCGACCAGACCTTTTTTATCGCCACAGTGTCGAGTGCCAGGAGTGTAACAACAAGTACCTTCTTTTAACGTCGTTTGGTGTGACGCAGCCGAGAATCGAACTACCGACCTCGTGCTCTCAGGGTAGACGCTCTGCCCACTGGACCACAGAGGCGGGCCAGTACAAAAGACAGGTATTGCAGGCAGCGCAGGCGTTAAGTGCATGCAACGTTTCATTGTGTTGTTACTATAACTCATATCGGTGAAACAACCTTCATTTTACATGCATGCACCGTTAATGGGAAGCTTGAAATAACTGCGCCCTTGGCCAAGTATTGAATATCATGTGCACCCACTTTCAAAATCCTGGATCCGCCTCTGCCTATTTGCAATCGGGCGTGTCGAGGGAACTAAATGTGGGTGCCAAAGGTGATGCAGTCCACGAGCAAGGGTGTGTGGTGCTGATAGACCAAGCGTCATAATCGGAGCGAATCTGGGATTTGAACTCACTACCAGCGGATCCCGGTACTGGGCGAAACTCCTGACAACCATTGGATTACGGTACCACCCAGTAGAATGAGTGTTGCTTACAACAATGTAATCGGAGACATACTGAATGTGCTGATTGCAAGTGAAGCAAAGCGCCCATATGTCCCAACATGTTCATATCACCTAATTTCTCACCTGTAACAACAGCATAGTTACATCTGCCTGTGATGAGATCTGTGACAGCCATCTGCAGCGCGCTGACCGAGGAGCTACACGCAGTGTCCACGGTCATCACTGGTCCCTGGAACCTGTACCAAGTGTTCAACTGTTGCACCAGAGTCGACCGTAGGTTGACTGGAAAACGCATGTGAATACCGGATTTACAGTCGACTTCAGATAAAACGGAATCGGCTTTAATGCAGCTATTTCAAATCGTTTTGAGTGATAAATAATTCACTCTAGATATCCAGTACAATAGAATTCATCAAAACTAATCGCAACTTTGTTACATCCGAAGTAGTGTAAACATGTACAGCATTTCCAAACGCAATTAAACTATGAACGACAGAGTTTTTGGATTCTTGCACTTGATAAGCAAGGCTTTAAAGTCACGCTATATATAAGTTGTTTTTAGGAAATGGCTTTTTTATTTGAACATTTATCCTTTTCCACAGGTCAACACCCAGGCGAACAGTTTCGTTACTCCAATACTTTAACATTTATACCACTCCAAACAAGTCATATAACACCCGTTAAGTTTCCTATTACTATAGTTAATTTAATAAACAATCGGGTGGTTTTTAACGTCTTTTGAGCGATCTACATGTTCTTGAACCTGCACGTCTCTGGTCATGGAAAGCATGTTTTTGATGCTGTAAGCGGATACCTTTGGGTACGATGACAGTCAACCATCCAAGTATCAGTCATGAAACCACATGCTGTCCATACCCGGTAGCAACTGAGACCACACTATCACCATTACACACAATGTAACCTTACTATGTTCACTGTCTGTCGCAGCCGAGTTGGTGATGACATCCGCATCTGAGAAGGTACAAGCGAGGTACAATCCCGTCTTGTCTGCTCGCAGCGAGGACAGGGTCAGCCCGGAGTCCACAACACTCTCAAACGTCACCTCCAACAGAAGTCGTAGCAGCAGGTTGCAGTGCCGGGCCTGACAAAAATACAGTGGACAATGCTAAATATTTGTTCCAGCTGCATGTAAACAGTTGGTTGGTTGGTTTGTTGTTTTACGCCGTACTCAGCAATATTCCAGCTATATAGCGGCGGTCTGTAAATAATCGAGTCTGGACCAGGCAATCCAGTGATTCACATCATGAGCCAATTGGGATCGATGACATGCTTCAACCAACCCGATCCCGTTAGTCGCCTCCTACGACAAGCTTAGTCGCCTTTTACGGCAAGCATGGGTTGCTGAAGACCTATTCTACCCCGGATCTTCACGGGTCTGTTAACAGTTGAGTTTGGACCAAACAAGTTATTGATTGTAGGAGCAATACCCATGTTCACCAAGCAGGACCACCGGATCAATTTGGTCGCCAAGCATAGATTTTTTATTCTAAAACAATTCCAACGGAAATCACCGTGATTGGTACATTTGCTGTAATTATACAAATTAATATCGTATTATTGTTAAGTCTAAAAATTAATAACGTATTATTGTTAAGTCTAAAAATTATTTTTTTATTTAACACACCTTGTTCATGAAAGGTATCATGAACACTTTGTTGTGTTTTTTCAAATATAAAGTCTCACTGTACCTCAGGTTCTGAATAGCCAAAGAATTCCGCATCGAAAGTCCCTAGGTCTGGAATGCTGCCTGATCGAGGGGGCAGCCCATGTAGTCCTGGAGGCCAGCGTGTAGGTCCCAGCATATCCACTCCGTCAACCAGGTTCTGCCAGAACTCCTGGGCAAAGGACATCAGTCACATACTTCAGTAGATCTTGGGATAAACACCTTGGAGTTCAGTTATCTCAGTATGAAAACACATAATGCTAAAACGCGAGGGCTCAACATTTTGCTATCAGTGATTGCTTATTATACGAAATAGAGAGAGTGACGTGTACAATAGCATGCCTGATTGCTAAATCTAATCTGGTCTTAAGTCAATGAGCTGTGTTTTGTACACACGTATGTATACAAGTTCACCTTAGGCCAGATGAACCAGTTGTTAATAGACTGTTCTGTGGATTCTGAGGGGTCTGACGGTTCATGACACAAATCTAGCCAGTCAACAGCAGAGGTTTCTCTTGTTCTTATCCCCCATTGACCCAAGTAGGATTCAAAACTAAGAAGACATTGTGTTTGTCTGTTGGTTGTTTAACGCCGCACTCAGCAATATGTCAGCTATATGACGACGGTTTGTAAATAATGTTGTCTGGACCAGACAATCCAATGACTGATATTATAAGCATCGGTCTACGCATTTGGGATACGATGACATGCATCAACCATGCCATCGAGCATGACCACCCGATCCCGTTAGTCGTCTCTTACGACAAGCATGGGTTGCTGAAGACGTATTCTAACCCGGATCTTTACGGGTCAGTAGACATTGTGACCAGCCGATCAAACTTGCGTCGGCTCTTAAAACATGAGCAAGAGATGGGCTAATTATCCTTCCCGTGGATCCGAACATGGAAGATCTTCTCTAAAGAGGCAGGTGTATACTTTGACAAATGCCGTCATATGCCTCTGTCACACAACCAGACATCATCCGACATGTTCATCCAAAGTCTGAGCCAACTCCGCATCCATTCATGACCACCAAATCCACATGAGTCACATTTTCCAACACAGGGTAATACACCCAGAATACCCACGATCAGACAATCCCCGGAACACCAAACAGACACTATAAGCTTTCGATAAGGTATACTACCCAAATCAATTTAAATAACTTCCAAAATTTGGAAGGCTATGTGTTGCAATACCCACAAGGTTCACTATAGTGATAGGAAACAATCGGAGGTTCTTTAACTTCTGTTGATTAGTATAGAGATATGAATATACACCCACATTACCTGGACATTATTGGATTTGGGGAACCGACCGGCAACACCGGATATGTACGCCTTCACCATGACACTGCCGGATACCTGAAACATATTTAACATCCAGTGCAGTTACTTGTTACTGCAGAACTCAATACTGTAACTTTTGATTAGCAACGCGTTTTAATCATTTGCATTGCTTCCTGGTCACATTTATAATAATTCATATAATAAAATAATGTATTCCAGCATGTTCTAAAATTGATATGAAACGAGTAGACCCTACGGTTCAGATGAAAGAAGGCTGATACATGTGGCAGTTTCAGATTTCAAATTTGCGCATGGCTGTAACACCTATTCACGGAAGTTTACCAACCGATCCCATTTGTGTCTCCTGTTAGGACAAGAGTTGGGAGACGTATTCTTCCATACACTATTGTCATCAGGTACATATTCATCTTCTGAATGGTACTCTCAGATCTAATATGTTACAGACAAACACCTGTGAAGAATCGGGTTCGAATTGGCCTTCAGCAACCCATGCCTGTGGTAAGAGGCGACTAAAGGGATCGGGTGGTCAGGCTCGCTTACTTTCTTGATGCAGGTCATCGAATCCAAATTGCGTAGATCGATGCTCATGACGCCTATCATTGGACTGTAGTCCAGACTTGATTATTTACAGGCCATATAAGACATAAAAGTGGACTGCGGAGTTAATCAGATCAACAAAATACCCATTCAGCTATACAAGTACATACCCTGACAGTCACCTGTATACCCTAAGCATGAGGTTTATATTTGCAGTTGCATTATAGCAACTTCCAAGTATCGACAAACGGTAAGTCATGATGGTTCCACTCTAACGACTTAATCAATGGTATTTTCAGCACTATATATCACTGGACGTTGTTTTACGTTATGTACCGAGTGCGAAATAGCCAGAGGCTGAAGTGCTCGTAAAATCATCAAACTATTATTATTACTTTATGTACACGTTGTGTAGTGAAATAACATTTTGCTAAAACAGAGTAATAGTCTCAATTTATTTTAAATACAAACCTTGATTAAACTGCATAATATAAATTACGTTGTGGTAGTACACGAATCGCAAAACGTCAGTTTGAGAACAAGTTATAAAACACTTATGAAAACTATGGCGATCTCTTTCATAGAAAAACACCTACTGTGGTCGGCATACCAAATATGGAAGTGACAGCTGGCAGACAGGCGAATTTAAACAAATTGTATCAAATACCAATGATTTTACTGTCTTTCACTCGAATTCTTTGATGGCAAGACTTGAAGTAAGTGACTGATGGGTGTAACGTGTCAGCTTTATGTTGGAGGAACCCACTTTGGTGTAACCCACGAGCACGGGTATGGTGCTGACAATCCTAAAAGGCAAACGCGAATCTAGTTAGGCAAAAGATCCACCCCTTACCCCTGGCTCGAAATTATTAAAACTCCTTATGTACGATTAGGGTTAGGGTAAGGTTGTCCTTATCCAGGCAAAATTTGAAGTAGGGGTTAAGGGCGGAAATTTTTCTCGGGTTCGAACCTACACGAACAAGTTTAGGTGTCATTAAAAGGAGATCCATACATGTCTGCTTGTCTACCCAATTGCGTATATGTACATATTTATGATCGTCTGATTGTATTGGTTGTACAATCTACCACGCATTTTTCAAAATGATGTTTCGACTACGCTTTGGCAACTCACGGAAATCGCAAGAAGCGTGAACCAGAGACGGTTTTAATATTTTTAGTGGGCGGGTGAGGGTGGTTGATTGCTTGTCTGTCGACCAGACCCCAGGGAATAAATTATAAAAACGAGTCCAACGCAAGTCTAGAATGATTTGACAAGTCTAGATTGCCTCAGCTCTCTGGAATTGTTATGAGCTCAATTTGGATATTATGTTTTTTTTATTGTGAAGATACATATTTTTAAATAAGATAACTTATTTCTGGGACTTAATGTCAGCCTAGATGATTGCATGAGTTATGATCAACGCCTTTCCAATAGCATAAAACCGAACCACCTCGTCCCAACGGAGTCGCATCCAACATGGTAACAAGAGATATAGGTAAAGTAAATTATTTGATCACCAAACGATCTGATTCATTGACGTTCACTACGTGAAATTTTCAACGGATTTTTATGGTCCAATAAACTACCCGGAAAGTTCCAAAACATGTATACTATGCATGCAAATAAATATAATCTTTTTACGGAGATCGTTAACTAAAAATAGTTAAAGACATAATTACAATCAGTAGATCCTCCCCGTGAACGTCTCCTGCCAGCCGCCTGCTCGTCTCGCACACTGTCGTCTGGTCGCACCTGCCGTCTGGGTGTCATAGCTGCACGTGATGCACGAGAATCACGAGTTCTTCACTTCGTCGGTTATTGACGCATTACGTTATCACCTTGAAATAAAATCATTCATGGAAACACATTTTCAGGAGGTTTTATTTCTGCGACACATATGGAGACGATTTGGTTATGAATTTGAAACCGAACGAGTCCTGGAAGGTTTATCACTGTTTTGCCATGTTTGTTTTGTTTTTGTTTCGTTGACAACATGAAGAAACGGTGACAGTTTAGTGAGGCAATCTAAACCAATTCGACACTGATTATAATCAGAAGCGAAAGCCACTGGAGTCATGTTGCTTACAAAATGTGCATGCCAGATTTAATCATTCATTTTCATTTATTCATTCAACATTTGACGCACAAGAGCATACAGCCATCGAAGCGTTCATAAAATAAGGTCACATGCACCGTGAATTAAAAGCGAGTTCGTCTCGTTTCTTTACATCTTTCGGTGACTTTAATTTAAGATAATACTTTATTTCTTCAACATCTAGCTCTGCTGATAAGATATGCAGCTACCAGGCTGTCGGCAAATGCGTTAATAAATATGGTTTCAACTTTAACGCAAAAACCGATTCTTTTGTCAAATATTTTACTGTACGGTTACTGTATCTCCTCAACCGTTCCTCTTTAAAAAATACGTTTTCCTGCATGTCACTACTAGGGGCCAATGTGCTCTGATTGACCACAGATCATCAACGGCATTATCTTATTTTCGATCCGGATTATTAACCCAGTTAATGACACCATGACCATCGATCATCACAACAAAGAAGGCGAGCATGACCACCCGATCCATTCAGTCATCTGTTACAAACATAGGTTGTTGGGACAAACAAGTCGGTACCGAATCTGACAACCCGATCCATTTAGTATCCTCTTGCAAACATAGGTTGTTGGGACAAACAAGTCGGTTCCGAGTCTGACCACCCGATCCATTTAGTATCCTCTTGCAAACATAGGTTGTTGGGACAAACAAGTCGGTACCGAATCTGACAATCCGATCCATTCAGTCATCTGTTATAAACATAGGTTGTTGGGACAAACAAGTCGGTACCGAATCTGACAATCCGATCCATTTAGTCATCTGTTATAAACATAGGTTGTTGGGACAAACAAGTCGGTACCGAATCTGACAACCCGATCCATTTAGTCATCTGTTATAAACATAGGTTGTTGGGACAAACAAGTCGGTACCGAATCTGACAACCCGATCCATTTAGTCATCTGTTATAAACATAGGTTGTTGGGACAAACAAGTCGGTACCGAATCTGACAACCCGATCCATTTAGTCATCTGTTATAAACATAGGTTGTTGGGACAAACAAGTCGGTACCGAATCTGACAACCCGATCCATTTAGTCATCTGTTATAAACATAGGTTGTTGGGACAAACAAGTCGGTACCGAATCTGACAACCCGATCCATTTAGTCATCTGTTATAAACATAGGTTGTTGGGACAAACAAGTCGGTACCGAATCTGACAACCCGATCCATTCAGTCATCTGTTATAAACATAGGTTGTTGGGACAAACAAGTCGGTACCGAATCTGACAACCCGATCCATTCAGTCATCTGTTATAAACATAGGTTGTTGGGACAAACAAGTCGGTACCGAATCTGACAACCCGATCCATTTAGTATCCTCTTGCAAACATAGGTTGTTGGGACAAACAAGTCGGTTCCGAGTCTGACCACCCGATCCATTGAGTCATCTTTTTCAAACATAGGTTGTTGAGACAAACAAGTTGGTACCGAGTCTGACCACCCGATCCATTGAGTCATCTTTTTCAAACATAGGTTGTTGAGACAAACAAGTCGGTTCCGAGTCTGACCACCCGATCCATTCAGTCATCTTTTTCAAACATAGGTTGTTGGGACAAACAAGTCGGTACCGAGTCTGACCACCCGATCCATTTAGTCATCTTTTACAAACATAGGTTGTTTGGTTACACACAGAAACTCTAGATCTCACATCCATCCAGAAGTTGTTTGTTGGGGAACTATTGCAACCATGGTTCCTAAGGCAACTGTTTCGTACACGAACGAAGAATTTGGCTTCCGCCAAGTGAGTGAGTGAGTGAGTGAAACGTTTACATCACATCGGCAGAATTGCAGTCATATCGCGATGAGTGCTTCCGCCAAGAACATCAGAACATCTTCATAGCCAATAAATAACCAAAGTTTCATTTGGAGTCTTTGGATGTTCAGAACAATCAATATGTGTTGCGTTAATATTCCGTTTACAAAAAATCACAAATATTGACTGGACGATAATTTATTTTCACATTATAAACAGTTAAAACGTCAATACAAATAAAACATATCTCGATTACACTCCATGATATTGAAGATCCGTTTAAAAGTCTAATACATGAAGTCTAATACTTAAAGTCTAATACATAAAATCTAATACATAAAGTCTAATACATGCAGTCTAATACATAAAGTCTAATACATAAAGTCTAATACATGCAGTCTAATACATGAAGTCTAATACATGAAGTCTCATACATAAATCCTAATACATAAAGTCTAATACATAAAGTCTATCACATAAATCCTAATACATAAAGTCTAACACATAAAACGTCAGTGCAAGAGCATAACCAGTCTTGATTATCTGCGGAAACAGATTCAATTTGACGTAAAGGGCAAAATAACTGTGAACATGATATGAGTGGACCACTGAAAATCAGTGATGACACCAGGTGTTCGTGAAGAGGGTAAGCTTGCCCTGCCCTACCGTATACACATCTACAGTGGACGACATACTGCACACATCCTGTGTGTTCAAGACGAATAACGGACAACATGAAATCGAATTATACAATGATAATAACAAATCGATCGTATCATATCCGAAGCTATTGTTAATTAACAAAGTACACAACACAAACAAATGTGTTCAGAGAAACCTCGACACTCGATATTTATTCGATTTATCGTTCGAAATGAAATAAATTAAAGGCCAAAACATAATGGTGAGATAACGGCCCTCCGCTCATCTCGAACTTCGGATATTTCGATATATTTTTTTATTGTCCAACGACAACGACGAGATTTCAGTATAGATGTACCTGATATATTCTATAAATGACCATACAATTTGTATTATAGTTCTAGTACAAGAACATAAAAACAACGTTTGTAACATTGAAATGTTTATAAGTGACAAATAAAAACAAATGAAAATAGTGTCATCAACTCCAGAGATTCTTGATACATGTAGGTCGGCAATTGTAACATGTTGCTTACATAACTGAAAATATATATACTGTTTGATTAAGCATCAGGTTAAACTGAAGTTGGAAGTACTCTACTAACCTTTGTTGATATGTCTCATTCTGGTGGAGATGGTGCCTTTAAATCGTATACATGGTAGCTAACATGCACTTGTAACAAATAATATTAATGAGTTATATATTACTCTATGATCCATTCATCGCTAACTACGAATTTTGAAAAGCGGAACAGACACAAGTTACCAGTTATATGAATATATATATATATATATATATATATATATATATATATATATATATATATATATATATATATATATATATATATATATATATATATGCACTAAGCCAGGGTAGTTTTTAGCACTAATTAATAGCACTGAATCACTTTGAAGCATCCATTAAAGAGGTAGGTAGTATCACAGATTAAAGTCCATCACTTAAGGATGTAACGATTCAAAATGCATATCGTTTCTTGAGGTCACGTATCGGTCCAAAACGGTATTTGTATACATAAGAATGACATATGATCCATAATATGGTACGCGATGAATTTTTGAAATATTTTTTTTCTTGCGTTAAATACAAGAGTTATGAAGAAGTTGTTACTTCTAGTTGAACTGACATAAAGTTATGAAATATACTTTGGATTAGTCGTGTGTCTCCTCACTTGATCGAATACGGCTTCTTGACACCCCAAGTGTCAAGAATTCATCGGTTGTTGTACAGCAATTTTATCGATTTCCATCGATTTCGTATCGTGACCATCTTCCCGAGGCAAGAGAGTTAACTGACTTTAAAAGTCCAGTTTCCACCCTTGCCGAAATACATGTAGGCTGGAATTCCTGGGCTCGATCGTAGCGCCACCAGTGGCTATTACCGTTTATGTCCCTTCTAAACCTCTCCTATGGACCAATCAGATTCCTCTCGTACACTTGCGTTTGCTTCACACAAAATGGTGGCGCCCAGCCAGGACGATCTGATCGATAATCAAGTTCTATATCGTGATAAAACGGGTCTTACATCGCGAAGTGCATCAAATCACGTGAGGACCTTAATTAAAAATATGAAAAGATTTTGAGAATATCTGCTGACAACGAGTTGGCGGTGTACATGCTTTGCAAAACCTGCAACCGTCGAAATCTGCACGACAGTTTGCGAACCGGATTTCGATTTCGGTGCGCGATTTTGATTGGACTATGCATAGACTCGTTAGTCCAGCCAAAATGTAACTCCATAATACCAGCCTAGTTCGGCAAGGGTGGAAACTGGACTTGTATAGTCAGTTTACTCTCTTGCCTCGGGAAGATGATCGTGACCCGCATATCGTTACAGTCTTCGACTGGCACAATATGTTACCGGTGTGTGAGTATGGCGTGTTTAACCCTCCTATTTCATGTGCCCGTCACTATAGCCTCGTCTGACGCGAGTCTGGCGTCTGATCTGCAAGGCAAAGGACGGAATTAAGATCACGGTAAATCGCTTAAGACGAAGAAATACACATCAAGTCGAATAGATATATCGGTTAAATCGAAGTATCTTGCGGATCTCCTGCATAGAAAGCATACAGGAAATTTACTTTGTCATCGATATACATTGTTAATTTCCAACTGATATATTAAGTATCAAGCATGGGTACCCTTTTTGTCTCGAACATCGTGTGACTCGATATATTTCCGATTATGCCAATGGGTGTTCACTGTATTTACACATTATGGACACGGTGTAATGGACAGGCCAATTTCATAAGGGGCGGCAGGTAGCCTTGTGGTTAAAGCGTTCGCGCATCACGCCTTACACAGAGGTTCGCTTGACCACATGGGTACAACATGTGAAGCCCATTGATGTTGTCCCCAGCCGTGAAAGAGCTGAAATATTTCTAAAGCAGCGTACCGCCATACTCACTCATGCTTCCATTTTGTGTCATTATCCGTACATGTATTCATGTTTTACACATGTTTCCATATAGATAACATTGCAACCCATGCCTGCCGTATGGGACTACTAAATGGGTCGCTTGTCCAGCTTCTGTGGTTAATTGCGTGTCATCGGTCCCCGACGTCGCAGTACGTTGCTCATGATATCAATCACTGGTTTATCAGGTACAGAATCTAGAACCTGAGTTTAACGCCAAAGTGGTGGATTGGACGGTCAACAAACAGATAATATAATAAATATATAGCAGTATTGATCGACTGGAGTTAGTTATGAACCACTTTCATAATGAAAAACAAGAAGACACGGGGCCCCAAAAATGGGAAGGTTTGAACAGTAACACTTTGTTTGACACGAAAAAACTCATACCGCAGAATAATGTGTTGTCCCAAAGACTGACAGTTGAACTTCAAAGAGAAGGGAAAGATCAAAGTTACTGGTGTCTGATTGAAATTATTGCCTGTGATATCATAACATTCACTGTTTTGAAATGTTTCTTTCATGAAAGATGATCTCTTATGTCTACAGCTGTTCGATTCACAGAATCTCCGAGACTATTTTCAGACAGTGTGACAAATGTTTCGATTGGGAAATTTGAAAAATATTAATACTCTGGTCGCAAACCTTTCTTGTTATCGAAGATAGGTAACATTGCTAGGTAATTATATATGATTTACCTATACTTTATCTTAGAGAAGAGTTTTGAGTAGGCACTATCTAGCAGAGAGGAAGAAACAGAAAACAAAATTAGAAGTATAGCGGGATGACAAATAGAATCAGCTGCCGAGAGGGAGAGACTATAGCTTAACACATATGTCAGTAATATTCCAAATTTCATGGCGGCCTGTAGATGTTCCAATCCAATTTCGGTGTCCTCCGTCGTGATATGGCTAAAGTGATGCTAAAAGCGGCGTAAAAACCCAACTCACTCACTCTTTTATACAGGTCCTAGGTACCAGTTCTGACCCGAAATTCATCCGTGTGTGTATCAACAGTGTAATACAGTCATTAAATTCTTTGATCTGTATTGAAACAGAAGTTGGCAGAACGTGAGAAACTAATTAGACATTCAACTGTTGAAAGGGCAAAAACTACCCTAGAAAATAATTTGAGAAAAAACACAAAGAATTAGTCCTCTGTACAGTTGCATACATACAAGAAGAAGAGACTGAAGCAACAGGAGGATGATGAAGCTGCAAGCAAGGGATAATCAGGGCTATTTACCTACCACCGGTGAATCCCTCATTTACGTAACCTTTGTCCTCTATCGACGTCCCATTAGGTCTAACGCCATTTCCCTTGACGTCGACGGTGACTTCCTCCTCTTCATCTGGCCAGTGCATCTCTATGAATAAGAAGTATATAGCCCACGACGTGAAGGACCCGACCATGGGGCCCACGATAGGCACCCAGAACCAGTAGTTGCGGAACCTGGAAAAAGAAATGAGAATGTTTTATTTGTGCTTAAAAAATGCCCTCAGCGAACGTCTTGCGCGAAAGTGGTATTTCACTTATTTTCAGTGATCGATTCATATAATTGTCACCGCTACATTGCCTTTTAATGCCAATGGAATGTTTCGGCGAATAATCGACACTGGTTGTTCTCTGGCGTTGATGTTAATACTTGTGTGTAACTTGTAAATTTGTTTGATGATTAACGCCGCACGGTATTCCAGCCATTGCAGGCAACCTGAAAATATTGCGTACGTTGTATTGTACACTATAGCAGGACACTTCCAGTGCCTTCCCTAGTGACGACAGAAGGACCAGAGTGCCCCTTATGTCATGTTGAGAATACTTCGTAAAGGACACGTGAATGAACGAATGTTGTTTTACGCCACAGGCAGCAATTTTGCAGGTATTTCACAGTATTTCTGAGTAATCGAGTCTGATTCAGACAAACCAGTAATTATATTTTGAGTTCAATGTCGTCTATCAAATCAAATCGCCTGTCCATCCGATCGATATAATAATATAATATAATTATCGACAGTTGCATGGTGATGTTGTCTTCAAATTTTTGCTCTTTGATACATTGGAGTGAGTTGTGTTTAACGCCGCTTTTAACAGTATTACAGATATATCGCGGCATGTCAGCTTAATGTGGGAGGAAAGCCTGAAGTGATGCAGGTCTCAGGCATTTACCACTTCGGTGAAACCCACGAGCACGGGTATGGTGCTGACAAACCTAGAAACATAATCGGGGCGAATCGAGATTCGAACTCACAATCATAGGTTTCTGGCGTGTACATTATGCACATGACGTCAACGGTATTGTGTCCATGGGGACAGCAACACTATGTCAGTTGGAAGATAAACATTGTGCTTTCTGATTTGTGGTTATGAGTGAGTATTTGATGCCTGGAAATTTTGTTTTCAGCTGTGATAAAAACACGACTGGAATGCTATGACGCCAGGGCACAATGGATGACGCTATATACTTCCATGCAAAATGAACGCGCCTCTTTATCAGAATGTTGAGTTAAAATCACTTAAACAAAAGCATGTCTGATACTTAGTGATCAAAATCATTCACACAAATGATGAATAAATAAAAAAAGTAATAATACACTGTAAAGGTCCAGACTAGTTCAGGACTTCGAATCCCTTTTAACATCTTTCAACCATTTATGTTGAAGGGTGTGAAGAGTAATATTACACGCGTGCGTGTGGTTTTTGATGGGTTTTATTAGCTCTCTTATCTTGACCTATCTGGATATTAACAACTACGTCTGTGTGTACTGAACATATACGTACGTGAATGGTTCCGTACCCCACCCGGCTAGAGCTGTAAATATTCTCGGTCCGAGATCTCTAGCGGGGTTGATGGCATAACCGCAGTTCAAGGCAAAGCATGTTCCTATGGCGAATACAATGGACCCGAGAGCCACAGGGACAAAACCTTTATGAGGCAGCATGTTGTTCTTGTCTGTTATAGCCAGGATACACCCGACTAGGATGAAGGTACCAAATACCTGCAATAAACGAAGAACAGGTAAGCCGGATTGTACGCCGCTTTAAACAATATTTCACATATACCACGGCGTGTAAGAATCCTGCCCGATGAAAACCCAAAATGACGTTGGTCGTAGCTGTTGCCAAGGTGCAGAGAGACCAAGGGTCATGGCCAGATTCAATCTTGGATTCGAGAAAAAGTCGAGCCGTTCCTGGCAGGTAAGGGAGGCAACTGTGCAAAACGAGTTGCGCGCTTTAACTTGATTGTTTGTTAACGTCGCACTCTATATTCCAGCTCTATGACGACGGCTTCTAAATAATCGGGTCATGATCAGAAAATCCAGTGATTGATATTGTGAGCAGCGTTCCGAACCTGACCACCTGGTCCATTTTCGACCAGCATTGGTTCCCGGTGACATTTTCTGTAGTGCCTCGCCTGAGAACTGTGCTTTCGTACCTAAAATGACTCTAGAATACGTTAATTGAATACTAATTTTGTCGTTATTTTTCATTAGGCACTTACTATAGTCGATCACTTCATTCATTTTGTGTCTTTCTAACGTACATGTGCATCTGGGGGACAACTTGAACATTGTCAAATTGGAATATCTATTATGCAAATGTGTTACCATTTATATAAAATGCGTTTATTGTTATTTGTCGCAATTTGGGGGGCTTTATGTTACCAACAACAATTACTTCGTTTTGGGGAGAGTTACTTTTCTTAATCAGTAAGACCCGTGAAGGGCCGGGGTAGAATAGGTCTTCAGCAATCCATTCTTGCCGTAAAAGGCGACTATGCTTGTCATAAAAGGCGACTAACGGGATCGGGTGGTCAGGCTCGCTGACTTGGTTGATGCATGTCATCGATCCCAATTGCGTGCATCGATGCTCATGATATCAATCACTTGATTGTCTGGTCCAGACTCGATATTTTTACATATAGCTGGAATATTGCTGAGTGCGGCGTAAAACAAGAAACTAACCAACCTTAATCAATAACAAATATTTAGCTCACCTGATCAAAGAGGCAGCTGGCGGTAGACACATAAGGTTGTGGGTAGGTAGCGAATATTCCCGCTGTTGCATTCACGCCGGTGGTGTATCGGATACCGCCGTCGAAGTGGTTGATGGCATCTGGGAGTTAAACATTGCTGATTGTACTCTGACTATGCATGGCTGTAAATGACTATATATTCAACTACATTGCCGGGGAACAGAAATTATAAACCCATGTTTGATGGTGGCTAAAATGAAACAAATAGCAAATGGTTGTCCGATAGTGATGTATTTGATACAGTTATCATAGTTGTGTTTTGGACCTTACATTTGCAGTTTTTCGGCGACTGTTTTCACCCGGATAACGTTTGTAACGTTTTGGTCAAATCCATTTTTTAAGTGCATAGTTTCTTTTGCCCGGCAGGTTACATAACTTTGCACAATAGCATAATTATCTGCTCGTGTGTTCAAATCCACAAATCGACCCGATAACACATTTTGGTCTGTCAGCATCAGACCCGTCGACGTGGGTTTTACGATCTGCAGCAGCAGTCATCCCAGATGATGCTAACATGCATTGATGTAACGAAATGCTATTCAAAGCCCAACCAACTCACTCGACCTCTGAAATACTTCGAACGTAAGTGCAAATCAATCTCGTGACTCGTATGAACATTATATTTTAATCAAGGAACAATCTGTCGATTCTCAACAGTCATGGCATCGGTGTACTTACATGATCCTATACAGTGAGTGAGTGAGTGAGTTGGGTTTTACGCCGCTTTTAACAGTATTCCAGTTATATCACGGCGTGTCAGCTTAATGTGGGAGGAAAGCCCGAAGTGATGTAGGTCTCAGACGTTTACCACTTCGGTGAAACCCACGAGCACGGGTATGGTGCTGACAAACCTAGAAACATAACCGGGGCGAACCAGGATTGGAACCCACAATCATAGGTTTCTGGCGTGCCCAAGGGACGCAACTCTGCACAGCGAATTGCGGCGCCTTAGACGACTGGGCCACCCGTGCCCCCTTGATCCTATACAGAAATGATACACAACATCTATATAACATATAGACAACCATTTACCACGATAAAGTCCATATTGAACAGCAGCTGCGAAGAAGGCTCCACACAAGTTGGCTATCGTGTAGAAGGGCCACTTGTACCACGGCACGATGCCCCTCAAACACAGGCCAAGCGTCACAGCGGGGTTTAAAGAGCCTCCTGAAGAACATGGAGACAAGGCGGAATTTACAATATGTATCTGAAATGTTCAACGAAGAAAGTCTCCAATGTTGGTACCAGGAACGAGAATTTTGCAATTTTGGGTGGTGGGCTAGTAATAACACTAGTAATTATTTACTATCATATTTGGTGAATGGTGTTATTAACATTGCAATATGATACACTAAAACAGTGTCTCGTGTGAGTTTTAAGGTGACACTTTCAGCTGGATCACTCAACACAGATTATGTCACTTGGTGTTGGTTGGTTGGTTGGTTTGTTGTTTAACGCCGCACTCAGCAATATTCCAGCTATATGGCGGCGGTCTGTAAATAATCGAGTCTGGACCAGACAATCCAGTGATTGATATCATGAGCATCGATCCATGCAATTGGGATCGATGACATGTATCAACCAAGTCAGCGAGCCTGACCACCCGATCCCGTTAGTCGCCTTTTACGACAAGCATAGTCACCTTTTACGGCAAGCATGGGTTGCTGAAGACCTATTCTACCCCGGAATCTTCACGGGAATCACTTTGTGTCTGAGGATATGGTTTACAGATTGTATAAGTTGCGAGTTATACCAGTAGACCAGGACATGATTAGCGTTTTCGCGAACACCTGGTGTCTTCACTGGTTTCAGTAATCCATTCACATAATTGTCACCACTATTTTGCTTTTTACACTCAATGGAATCTGTTTCGGCAGATCGTCGAGATTAGTTTCTGGCGTTGACGCTTTATATTCAACGTTCCTACAGCTAGTGGGGCGATCGGGTAGCCTAGTGGTCAAAGCGTTCGCTCGTCACGCCGAAGACCCAGGTTCGATTCCCGACATGGGTACGATGTGTGAAGCCCATTTTTCTGCCCATATCCCTCGCTGTGATATTGCTGAAAACGGCGTAAAACCATACTCACTCACTCATTCACTCCTACTGCTAGTAAACAATGAGTTAGACATCGTACGTCTGCAGCTGATAGACTGATTTACAGATCTTGTCCTTCATTATAAATATATAGTGGACTGTCACATTTCTCACAACGTTACATTATATGTCCCCAAAGAGAAACACCCCATTTCACGAGCGGCCTGATAAACTTAATGGGGATCAGTTGGTCATAATGGCCACTGAGAGTTGAAAGCTCTTTTGTTGTTAAGTTTGGGGCACTGGTGACCCAATTGTGTACGGCGCCGCAATTCGCAGTGCAGAGTTGCGCCCCTTGGATACGCCAGAAACCTATGACCGTCGGTTCGAATCCCGAATCGCCCCGATCATGTTTCTAGGTTTGTCAGTACCATACGCGTGCTCGTGAATTTAAACAAACTAGTTGACGTCTAAGACCTGTATAACTTCGGGCTTTCCTCCCATATAAAACTGACACGCCGTGATATAACTGGAATATAGTTCAAAGCGGCTTTGAACTCACTCACTGGTTGTTGACCACCTGTCGACAGTTCTCAGATGCTGTCTGTCTGACATGCCGAACGCGCGTATATGTATTGGAGCTCACAATTCCTTGGCCTGTTCTACAGTTGTAGACCCCATTGAACACAAAAGACCACCGTGTACTGGCGGCATGGTGCTGATAACGTCGTACAATGTCTAACCTCATTACTCACTCTCTCAAAGCATTTACACAAACCTGACACCCCGCCTGACCAGTAGATGCCAAGCGTGAGCCCCATGCCTCCTGCAAAGTTGACGGTAAGGAAACTGCTGAGCTCCTTGCGACTGAGGACATATTGAGCTCCAGAGGCGACAGCAAATGTCTGAAACAAATACCATTGGTACATCATTGTCATTTATTCGGGGTAAAGTAGGCGACATATACAGATCTGGGTCACTATCCTAAGGCCTGCAGAGTTGCTGGGGGTAGAATCGAGTCCATGTTTCGCATCCATCAGGGTCCTTCGTCACGCCATAAGGGGCGGTCGGGTAGCCTGGTGGTTAAAGCGTTCGCTCGTCAGGTCGAAGACCCGGGTTCGATTCCCGACATGGGTACAATGTGTGAAGCCCATTTCTGGTGTCCCCCGCCGTGATGTTGCTGGAATATTGTTAAAAGCGGCGTAAAACCATACTCTCTCACTCACTCACTCATAAAAAAACACTGTATTTTTACAAAAATATTTCTATACATCACATGGGAAAGTTACTGCTTGCAGTCTAGTTTGTTTGTTTGTTTGTTGTTTAACGCCGCGCTCAACAATATTCCAGCTATATGACGGCGGTATGTAAATAATCGAGTCTGGACCAAACAATCCAGTGATTGATATCATGAGCAAACTTTATTTCATTTTGTTGATCAATGTGACCCTACGCCCTTATACTATCAATAAAAGTGACAAATGCGCTTAAGAATTGCGCAGCACAGGTCGCGAACTAGTCTATGTTCCTGCTATATCATCCGGGTACTCACGGGGAAAAACAATAACAAAGGCAACAACCAGTCCCGGGGAATTGCTTTAGATCAGTGCCCCTTTAAGGTCCACAACAATGAAACCGCATCAAATACATCACCATCGAATAACCATTTGTTATTTGTTTCATTTTAAGCCGCCATCAAACATATATTATTCTTTTTACCGGTAGTGTGTCACTATGGGCTTACCGTTCACGTACGACACGTCGTGATATGACTTAAAACTCAACCACTCACCTTGTACACATATATACACTTACATAACCAATTTAAGGCTGTATTAACATAGACGTCATATTGTTTCGTCATCACCAAGAAGAGGCAGGTTTATCAACCTAGCGGGCGTCTTAATGCAATTCGGCATTAATCTGACATTACGAAGAAGAAAAAAACAAAATAGCAACAGCTGTTACCACGTCAATAAACATATGCAAGCAAGGTATTATTGATGAAGGCTGCCTATTCATACTTTTTTTTATCTCGCAGTTGCTACTCTCTTATGTGTGTTCAAGTTGTGATCCTTAAGACCTCCATAACATCATGGCTACTTAATGGGATGCAGAGGATAAATGGGTGCTGGGAGTTGATCCGGCTCATCATCTGTTGGTGATGAGTGGGTGATTTATCAACCTTATCTGTGGTGTTTCCGATACATGCCTCTACCACCTGTTGAGGGCAAACTTTCGGCGTCTAATTAGAGAGAGATGTGGCCTCCGCGCTGCTAAAAACATTCCATTACCAAATAATCGTCTCATATTTGCTAACAGATCTTTAGTATTGAAACTGGTTGTTTTGGAAACGAACCAAATAAAAGGAACAATATTGATTTCACAAATTACAGGTGATAAATGGCATTATTTTTGGTGTCTTTTAAAATTATAGTACAATGTGTTTTAAAAATATGAAATTGTGCTCACATGTATTGTCACGAAATGAATGTCGCTGACCTGGTTGATGCATGTCATCGATCCCAATTGCGTGGATCGATGCTCATGATATCAATCACTGGATTGTCTGGTCCAGACTCGATTATTTACAGACCGCCGTCATATAGTTGGAATATTGCTGAGTGCGGCGTTAAACAACAAACCAACCAACCAACAACCTAATGTGCGAGTGCTCATGTAACCAAACATGGCTGTATATTCAATTTGATTTATATATGGCTGGGCAGCTCACTCAGGCATTGTATTCCTGCGCCGTTACTTCAGTGTGTGGAAATATCTCTTAAACTTGGATTAATTTAAGAATCACACTATATGCTAAAGATTGTCATCCCCTCTCATGTTTCCACATCGCAAATACAAAAAGGAGTAAATGTCTTCTTTGCGAGCCTCTAGTGTGCGTACTACATATCTTTTTAATACATATTAGGGGGGCACGGGTGGCCCAGTGGTCTAAGGCGCCGCGATTCGCTGTGCAGAGTTGCGTCCCTTGGGCACGCCAGAAACCTATGATTGTGGGTTCGAATCCCGGTTCGCCCAAATTATGTTTCTAGGTTTGTCAGCACCATACCCGTGCTCGTGGGTTTCACCGAAGTGGTAAACGTCTGAGACCTGCATCACTTCGGGCTTTCCTCCCACATTAAACTGACACGCCGTGATGTGACTGGAATAGTGTTTAAGCGGCGTTACAAACCCAACTCACTCACTAATACATATTATTTACGATATGAAAAAACACTCGGCTAACAATCTCCAGGGCTCAAAACATATCACTTGATTAAAAACAAAATTAACTGACTTGAAAAGTCTCACACAACCTTCTTACTCCAGTGTGTAAGAAGGGGAAGGTCTTACACAACGTTCTTATAACAAAACTAAGTGGAAACCAAGGTATGTTGACAGTAGGGCGCTACCGTTATATGATAGCATTTGGCCAAGGGTCAACCAGAGAAGAAAATAACAACGGGAATATATGGAAAGCAGTATAAACATTTCAGGTAACACATTGAGACATTTGTCAGGATTTATAACGACCATAGCAATCTATGTTAAATAAATGTGACTAAAAGCCGAAGATAATAACATTAATATTTCAGGTAGACTGACACTTCGTCTATGACGGCGAGTAATATTCCGGCAAACAATCGAGTCTGGTCTGGAACAGTCTACAACAAGTGACAGAAAGAACGCGCCAGGATCTACGCCATTCGTGTACACTGACACGGAATCAGAGTGACAGAACCTGAAATTCCCACAGGGTCTTTGATGTCAATAAACAATAGTAGGGCTTCACAAGGACATTTATCTTGACCCACCTGCCTACCTTATGCTTTTCACACCAAAACAAGACTTCTGTTATTGCAGATTATCAGGGCACGCCGCCATATTGACACAACAAAGGCTAATTATAACTTCTGAATTGTCTGGAAACATGACGGATTCAAGACTTCTTCGCGTCACTCCATATATGTTACTGAAAACAAAATCTTCAGAAAGTTACATGTTTTGTCTGAGAATAGGTACAAATAAATGTTGTTCCAGTTGTCTTAAACGTTGGATTGACGTTGGATTAACGTTGGATTGACGTTGGCATTGACCTGCAGTTTTTAGGAAATACGTAAAACCGCTTCAATCAGTGTTATTTGTTATATCCAAAGAAGCTTTAGAATACAGGAATGAGGGATGAAGTGGTTCCGAATCATAAGTTATAATGATACAATATATTTTCCGTGGTCTCTTATTTGTATTGTGGCTAGTATTTTGATTAGACACTGCTGGTCAAAAGAAAATACAGTAAACTACGGTTATAACGAACACGCTTATAACGAACTAACGGATATAACGAACTTACTTTTTAGTCCCGACTATATGCTGTAGTTATGCTGTATATATGCTTAAAACGAATTATGGTTATAACGAACTAAAATTAGTAGTCCCTTTGAGTTCGTTATAACCGTATACAATCGAAAACGTTGCTAGGCTGAAAACAGAAGCCCACTGCAAACTTCAGGGCCAAAACACAACTATAACAAATACATCATCCTCGAGTAACTATTTGTTATTTGTTTTATATGATGATGATGATGATGCATATGATGATAATGCATATGATGATGATGATGATGATGATGATGATGATGATGTAAGCCATCCGCGCCCCTCTTCCACAACCGGTCAGTCAGGTTATCAACTGGTAATCCATCAAACATTGTGGACGTGTTCAAGAGTGGGCGGGTTGACTGTCATTCAGCGGACAGACGTAGCGTGTTTGAGTGGTTTGAAGTAGTTAAGCAGGAATGAAGTACGCCAAATGAGCGTGATCAAATATTTACGTTGATAGGACCGACACCTCTGTTTTACTTAATGCATACGCATGATGAGATAACGCGTAGCTCGCCATGATCGGCTCAGTCGTCTATATTGAACCATATAATCGTGGGTTCGAATCTAAAATTAGCCCCGATTATGTTTCCAGGTGTGTTTGCACCGTACCCCTGCTCGTGGGTTTCATTGATAATGTCCAACACTTGCATCACTTCTGTCTTTCCTCCAATATCAAGCAGACACGCCGTGCTGTAACTTAAAAAACTGTTCAAAGCGGCGTTAAACCAAACTTATTCACTCATTAGACTTACTAATTGCAACGCGTCATATGTATGAAGCAGCTTCGTGCATTTTACGAGAGAGAAAATGGTTCATTTTAATTATAATAGGTTTTAAAGGGAAATTAATATATATTGTTTATGTTTATTTGTTTGTTGTTGTAGGCCAGGTTCACACAGTGCCGATTATGGCTCCCGTTTGAGATCAGACAGCGCTGCGACACGAAAATTGAAAAAGTCGGATTACTATCCTCAATGATCTGGAATGTTCTATCATTGTCTGAACGCAGTCGTATACGTTCGTAACGGAGTCCTACGGATCGGGAAAGGCTCGGAAAGGTCGGCCAAGCACTACTGACAGTATGATGCGTCGCGTAACATTCGGGAAACTCAGCCGATTTTGTCTAGTCGGATTACAATCGTGACTATGTCGTGACAGATTCTACTGTATCGAATCAAAATCGTAACAATGTCCTGTGTTGTCTCGACGGTGAACTGTGGATCGGGGCGCTGTCGTGATGAACGGGCATGAAATGTTCATTGCCGTTTCTTGTCGATTGAGTCCAGATTGCGTCCAGATCTTGCCGATGCGAACCGTCTTTGTCGGTTCACTGTCCGGTCACTGTCTGATCTCTGTCGGATCGCATTCGGGAGAATCGGGACACTGTCGGGACAGATTCAGTCGGTTTTTTACCATGCGGAAGATACAAATCGGATCAGATTCGGATTGAGAACGGGAGAATCGGGACGAATTCGGCTGGAAACGGCTGAATCGGGACGCTTTCTGAACAATATCTGATTGT